ACAACGGCTTGGTCGAGCACAGGATGGTATGACCTCATAGAGTTAGGCCGGCATCCGTGATTGAAACGGGAAACCTTGGGAAAAATTCCATATTCAGTTGTTTCAAAATCGATGAGCATCGCATTGGTGGCTGCAATCCCAAGAAAAACGCCGAATTGAGCCCTTTGAGTGTTTGCGAGCGAGAAAAACTCGCGTTGCTGCTCCTTGCTAAGAGCCTTCAATTTCGTGCTGATAGTCGCAGCTAGCGCTTCGATATCAGCTTTTGTCAATTTCGCGTGCTCCATCACAGCACCGGGTAGCTTCAACATCGGTGGGTCCGCGAGGATACGTGTTCCCTGGGGAATATTGCGAGTGGCGAAAACTCCATATCCCTTACCCTGGGTTTGCTTGATAATGCAAAACTCGTTGAGTGGAATCTCTGCTGGCTCCACTTGGGCTTCCATTGTGAGAGGCACTGAAGATGTTAGAAACGCTGGGCCCCTTCAGAGAGAATATCCAACTGGTATAACAGTATATTACTCACACTGGTCTGAAGAGAGCAGGTAATCAAATAAAGAATCTTGGCTGACTGTCAGCAGACTGCTGTTTGCTGGTTGATTGCAATCTTTAAAGGGGATGTTCTGAAGAGAAAACTTTGTTGTTTTGAAAACATATGGTCGCCATGGCGAAGATGCTATACGGACGACATCATATCCCATGATTTAAAGCACTAGGTTGATTGCACCTTTTTTGGAGCGGGGGCACACTGGCAAGTCATTTTTTGTACCAGGGCACAGACAAGCTGGCATATTCCTCCGGACAGTGTGCAATTTTTTCAGATATTTTTTGTCACTTCTGTTGAATAGTGCTCCCACTACTTGTACCAAAGTCATCTTTACGCCTCAGATATCATTGTTTATGGTGCTTCCTGGTCACCAACCTCTAGCTTTTGCGTACACACCCTTGTACCAGCAGCTGAAAATTTCCAAACTTTGACAGGGTCTAATGTTGGTTGCTTCCTGTCCGGATAAGTGTTACTCCATTTGATACTACTGAAATCAACCCTTACTGTGTGGATGATAGAACAACCTTGACTACCTCAGTATAACAACCTAGTGCTTGAGTTAGCCTACCAGCAAACATATCTTAAAGTCCTAACAACGGCTTTGATCAAATCTAATTACTGATGATGGGTATTGTTGAGATTGTCCAGGTGCCAAGTACGCCATATGTTTTTCTCAACTTCAGAGGACAAAGAATACAGAAGTCAGCTACCTGTGTAATAAGCAAATTGGATGGTAAGCTTCTTTCTCTTCTCTTTTTTCATTTGCCTTTATTCTATTCACTCAGTGACATTGCTAGCCATTGAAACATGGGGAAAGACATAGAGGTATGGTTTGTCATGAGAGTGTATGCCTCATAGCTATGCATTTACGGAATACAAAGCAATAGCCATCTGGAAGGGATGAAGGGGAGGATGACTCCCAAAAGCCGAAGTGGGGAGTACCGTAGGTTTTGTTCTTGGTCTCAGCAACCAACAAAAAACTATAACCTCACCGCTGCCATACTCTCACATTTTCACTATTATCTTCTCACACTCCCTCGCTTTCCTACATTACAGGAAGGGCCGTCTCATTTGATGTTGATGGGCACAAAACTCAGATCCGAACACTTATTACCATTTCACAAGAAGCAATGTTAGCCCCAATTTTCCTAGTCATGCATACAATGAAACCAAATTAGATTTGTTCAAGATGTAAGACATGCTGACATGCTTCTTTGGGAGTAACTATTGCACTGCGGCGATATCATAAACATTGAGAATGTTTGGCTGGGTCTGAACTCGAAGATTAGTAGTTCGCCAAATTCACAACCGAATGTGGAGTACCGTAGACATAATTTGGAAACGCCCAGCAAAACACCCATCAAAAAGACCCAATTAGGCATGCACACTTTTTGACCATACTGGTATCGCGTCGGATTCCATTGAGCTGAGGGTATTTGCCAGCAGCCCCTGAAAGCGACAGCCCGATGTTGAAGCCCAAAATTGGTTCAGGGGCGGGCCGCTTAACTGGTTATGGTTAGGTTAGCCGAGAGAACTCAACTCTAATCCGACCGCAACCCGACAAGGCCCCTGATGCGGCTCAAGCAGCGGCGCATTGACGCTCATCAGCGCGAGCTAATCAACATGCGTTTGCAGTTAAATGAGAATCCTCCTATTAGCCACTTGATAAATGCTCTGTAGAGCGCCCTGATGAAGCATAGTGGCGCTTCTCTCTCTACGGATCGGTAATAGGTGACTCTCTCCTCAAGGATGATTCGGTTTCTTCTGGTGGATGTGTCGGGCAACTATCCAGTGTGGTAGCCGGATGCCAAGGATGGTGGGCTAGTGATGTGGCCTTCCGTTCGCATCGTCGTGCCTCCTCAGAAATTGTTCATCCCAACTAATTATCCACCACTTATCGTTGGACGACAGCTTACCACATGGGCGTGCGGAGCTTGGAATGTTGTCGATCTATGGATTCTTCTATATTTTCTTTGTGTGTACTCCGTACGGAGTACTTATACCCTCTGTTGCATGAACCTACTACCTTTTTGTAATAGTATACCGTAGCTAGGCGTCCCATCTTCCGCAAAAATGAATCCATTCTCTACACTCCTTTGAGCCTCATCGCTCCTCTTCTTCTTTCCTACTGACCCGATCTCCTGTGGCTCCGGCTCCCCAAAGATCTGCTCCCTCACACCCAGATCGATGTCGTCCGTGTTGCCAACAGGGGGCACGGAATCTCTATTGAATATCCAATTTTCTACGTTTCCCAACCCAACCTCATTTACCACGATTCTTAAACATTCAACACAAGATTACAATGGCATACTCAGCAAACAGTCAGCATCAGGCAGTGGGCAAAAAAAAGAGAAGAAACAAATAAAAAACATACAACAGCTGGGATTCGCTGGTGGTCACCCACCCAACTACTAGCCAGCCGGCGAGTGGTTTAAGTACGGCTGAGCGGACGGGAAGCCCTGTTCTCCACTCCCTATGGTCGTATGTGCTTATGTGTGGAAGGAATGGTATATAAATGGGCACAAATACGCGCATTTTCACCCGTTGAAAGTGGACAATGTCACACACCTGTATGTATCCAGGGGACGAGGAAAGAACTTGGTTATCCGGGAGAAGATGCAGAGTTCTGTCGAGATAATGAAGCGGTTTATTACAGAAGGACATATATTGTTGTCGTACATGCATAGGCCTTTGGATAAAGCTGTGATGGCTGCAGAACCACTCCCGGCCTATTTTCGATGGCATCCCATTTCATCGTTAACGTGAATGGAGTAAGCTACTGATAGTAGCAGCTAATCATCCTCCTCATGATCCTGAAATGGCCAACCACTCTCAACACAAGCAAGGTCCTCTTCATCTTCGGCCTCATCAATCCACTGCTTCCTCAGCTGTTGATTAACCTCAACAACTTTCTCGAATGAATCATTCCTAACCCATCCATCCTGACCAACATCATCCAGCAGCGACCGCCAGTATTCCACAAGCATATTGAATTTGAACCACTTTTCCTCAAGATCATAGAATTCCTCTTCATCTTTGGCGTCAAACTGGATGGGGCAGGGATGTCTCTGCGTTCGAGTCGACATCAGGACGGGCCAGTGATTGATTACTCTGATAAGAGCGCCCTTGAGCGTCACGATGTTCCCAGTCCAAGGACGCCCTGCCCGATCCACGAGGTGTTGAATAAGCATCATTCCTGGATATCGCATGGCGTTAAGGTGTGGCTTGTTGTCCTTTCCATTGAAGATCATGTACAGATAGAAGAGCATTCGCCTTCGATGAAGTTCGTCAGCTTGGGATTTCGCTTCAGCGTCAAGAGACTCGTAGTCTTCCGGAAGCGAGGGCTTGGAGTAATCCTTCGGTGGCTCTGGGTCCGGGTTTTCAAACGCTGGTGGGTTTCCAGCTGCCATCAACAGAGGAAGGATGGTCGTGTGTTGCCAATCCAGGATACATGATACGTCGCACGTTCCGGTCACATAGATATTGGTCGGATTCAAATCTAATTTTACATTAGTTCGGGAGCCTTACGCTATAAAGTTTCATTTTTTCTGAAGCTGAACTTGGATACCGACCCGGATGACGCAATATAGGGCGATTCACGACGTGTGCACCATCTTCTGGCAAGAGGTATTGGGAGATGGTCAAATACTTGTTGAGCAAATCGACATACTTGTTTGGGGGAATTTCCCCTTTCAAGACAGTGTTGTGAGGAAATTCGTTGATTTTTGGTTTTCCAAATTTCATCGTCAAGTCTCTTTCCTTCAAACCGGTGGAGCGAAGGTAGTCGCGATGATCCTTCCCTGTAAGGTATACCTAGTTAACCAACAATACGTAACAGCAGCGTCAGGTTTGATGGAGAGAATATCTCACAAGGGCCCCGGCTTATCTCAAGCTGTGCTCGTTTTCCGCGCCAATACATATAATCTGCCGTGGGACCAATGCAAAATCGGCTAGAATCACCATCGTTGTCCTCAGTGCCTGGTGCATAAAGATCTGCCTGTTGTTCCCGAGGCAAAGCTCTCTTGTAGTAGATGCTGCCGTAACAGCTAAAAGGAATCGAAAATAGCTTCCGTTCAATATCCACGTAACTTGTTACCAGGTGGCTTTGTTCCTTGGTTGTAAGGTTGAACCAGTGTGCTTCCAAAGGCTGACCAGCAGCCTTCTCCATAATAATATATTCGCTCCCGACTTCATTATTTGTTTCAGAGGAATAAGCGTAAACTCTGGGCACAGGTATCCCTTTCGAATGTAGAAAGTCTAGTGTTGCAACTTCACTCTCTGTTGCAAGTTTCTTTGGCCCTGCAATAGAGTACGGGATCTTGACGATGACCTCAAGACCATCATTCATGGTCAACAGTAAGACTCTGTTGAAGCCGCCTTCTGCAAGTTTCCGCATATGCGCAACGCTTTCCCGGTTAACACTCTGAGCCGCAACCTTCCGAAGCGCGTCAATGTTGAACTCAACATATCGTTCAGCCATTCGATGTTTCTCATTGTAAAGATAGCGACCGGAAGTATAGGCAAACATTTCTCGATTGTGGGACGGACGACTTCGGCTCTTTTCGCTCATCGTGGAGTGCAGTTTAACAAAGGAAGGGTTCATGGAGGCCGTTCGACCAGGGAGCCGTGCCATGCTGCGCAATGCCGGGTTTGTTTTCGCGAACTGCGCAAGGGAAAAGAGCGGTAGGCGACGTCGGGGGTGAAGAGAACGAAGCATCGCTGGTCCAAGCCTCGCCAGCATTTTGAGCACTGATTTCAAATCAGGCGCATCTTCAAATATCAGACTCCTCAGCGCCAAAACCTGCACCGCCAAAAGTTAATGTCTTCATTGCCGCCGGGAAGCCCTGTTGCAAGCCTTGAACTCGCTCATCACAGCGTTGACCAGCGTGACGAGCACGTGATCCACTGAGGCGCTGGGAGCCTTGCACCAAAACATCCACCAGCTCCATTTGACAACGGCACATTGATGCATGCAATTCCTCCACCAACCTTGAAGCCTTAAAACGCCGGCGCTTAATGCTACCATGCCGGATATAATTGGCCTGAAAACTATGGATTCTTCTCAGAATGTTCCATGTCTCGCCGAATCGCTGGATTCGCAGGTCAAGAACTTACAAGCGCCCACAATAGCCAGGTCAGAATGCACTACCCCAGCGGTAATGGGTTGATTTGGCATCGGTATTTGGAGATATTTTTTAGCAGATTTCTCTTCTGCATGACAGATGCTTTTTCCCTTGTGGACTGGCGTGGATGGTTGGAACACAGCCTGCTTAGAGTCCCGATTCAGCGCGAAGCAAAACGCCCATGGCATCGTCCTGGGATTGGGGTCACCCAGGGCCACAAAAAGAGAGTGCTAGAAGTAGTCTCTTCATTGTCTGTAGGTTGAGGCACAATTAGCATGGTTTCTAGTGTGTAATAGAATACAGAGAACCACACATCATAATTGGTTGATATGGATTTATTACTGTATGCCAAGCTTTTAGTGACTATGACCATGTTCTATTGGCCAACACAGAAAATTTAAAAAGTATATTGCCCTGTCTCACTGCCTAACCACCTGGCCAAGCAAGAGTATGAAAATCAAGCCAGCATAAATGTTTGAATCTGTAAGAATTCGCCCGCAAACCCCTTACATGGACAAACCAACACCTGCAAGGGCTGAGAGCCTCAGCTTGTGAGCTGTTGGGAGTTGCATGTGTCCTTACAAGACATTAAGTCACATGCTTGTGAGCACATATAAAAGGCCACCACTGTGTGAATCTCTTGCTGGAAGCCAGTGGTAATCTTGTCTACAAGTTGTATATAGTTGCCAGAATACCAGATCTTTTATCTTGTGTACTTTTTTCTATCTACATTCTCTTCTAGAGATTCATTATCACACTGATCCACACATACAATTCTCACATTTTGCCACTCTTCTTGATGATGCTCAATAATGGTATCTACATGAAGAAACCAATCTTCTGAAACTCACAAATCTGAAATACTAGTTGAAAACCTACTCAAAAAACAAACGTAAGTTTGTGAAGAGATGATAAATCTTGAAACCATCTCAGCTCTCTTAACTGTCAATAAAACCAAAACTAGCATTGCAATCTCAGAGAGAGAGTCTACTTTAATATCAATAACTTTATAAGAAAAAGCAACTACCAGAGAATATAATAAAATGGCAAGAAAAGTTGAATAATACTCTTCAAGAATCAAGCCATCTAAAAGTACTTGTAAAGTGAATCTCTTGATATAACTATCTCCAATTCAACATTTGTAAAGTGTCTCCTTAGGACAGATTTTGAATGATAACAGTCCCAATTCCATGCTGGCTGTTGAAAAGGCAACCCAAACAACAGCGCAATATCTTTGTATTAATATTTTTGAGCCCGACACGAAAACTGTTTTCATCTTACTAGAGCACTGTTCAGGGATACTCGGGCAAATTGGTGATGTAGAGGAAGAAAGGAAACTTTGGGAGAAAGAAAGGCAGCGTCGTCAACAGAAGAGTACTCTAGACTTGTAACGAACCATAGCTATAAAGCTCATACGAAGCTTATATTGTCCCCTGCTGCATTCAGAAGGTTCCCTGCAACTCCTCCAACGTGAACTCCAAACCTGGAAGCAAGGAAGCTCCACATTAAACTATAATCAGGAAGGAAACAGCTCAGTTAAACAGGCCGGTCCGTCACCCAGAGTCATTACAGCCCAGTTTCAGCAAGCAACGTTGGTTTCGTTGCTGCTTAGTAACATATTCTGGCAACAAAGCTTCATCATCTCCTGGCAGTATTGGTAGCGCGAGAAAGGGCGGAAAAGTGTCCTCTCTGCGCCCCAGGCTTATCCCAATACATCGCGGCCGTATTACGGGCGTGGATTATCCTTCGACCGCTGGGGAGCTGAATCTTTATATTGGGAAAGCAAGTTGCCTCCGTTTCACAGTAGGGCGGTGGTTGGCTTTCGACGACAACCCGATTAACGGTCTTTTCCTCTCCAGCCGTGCTTGGTCAAAGTCGATCAACATCAGCCGTGATAACTCCGCACTCCAAGTAAGATTTGGCCGGCGAACATCACCGTGGACCACACCATATCGAAGCAACTCTTTCTGGAGCTTTCTGGTCTCCCGGTGGAAATCGAAATTGAAATCTTCCAAGCTGTCCAGGCTGTCCCCAGCCCAAGAGAGCAGTAGGTAGTGGACGATAAGGTCCAGGCCATCCGTGATGAATGGTTGTCTCAGGTTGACACTTCCCAGGCACACTGGAATCAGGTTCCCTTGGAGCTTGCTGAGATAGTCATACACCTTGGCCTTATGTTGAAGATGAGACATCAGCCCTCTGATGGTTCCCTTTCGGACAAAAGTATAGCCATACTGGGCCATCATCATCTTAAAAAGAATGCCGCGTGCCCCATGGAGTTTCAGAGGCCAGCACCCATTGTCTCAGTCATTGTTCAGCTGAGCCTCAAGTAGTTCTGCGACTCTTGCTTTAGGAATCGGATGCGTGCCATCCTCGCTCATCTGTCGGTGAATAGCGACATTGGGACATGCTTAGTCAAGAACAGCGCAGTTCAACAGGCCAGCGAGGCACCGCTGCGTGCAGTATTGACAGTCCAGTTCCCGATCACGGCTACGCGGCTGCTGCTGCCGTTTGGCCGGCGGGGGTCGCGGCGGGGATATCACCACCGCGAATCGTTTCCCGATCTGGCTCGGTCTGGTGCCGTTGGCCGGGTCGTCCTCTTCGGAGCTCTCGGAGGGCTGATCGTCGGACGGATTGTCGGAATCTGCACAGCGTTGTTGCAGCCGACGCGATCGTCAAGGCTGTTCCTGCAGGGCGGGGCTGGAGAGTGGACTTGACGGTACGTAGGAAGACCCGGATGGGGTTCAGCTTCTCTCCTCAGCTGGCATGTTCACTAGAATATACTCAACATCCACGGCCCAGGTACAAAGAACAGAGAATGCCTGGGACCGCCAATCCTGACTCCATCTTTTGGAAGCCAATGCTAGCAGGCACAACGACAGCACCGATGATATCGCGGTGTTAGAGTACCAGAAGGAATCGCCATCTTGGGTGTTGGCGTCATGAGCCGGTTCGGAGAGGTGATAATACAATGTAGTCAGGTCATCTTCCTTGATGCGAAGGAAAACAAACGCCTCTCCTGTTGTCAAATACCCATATTCAACCCCTTCCTTGACCATGTAGTCAAACGTTTGCGTGATGGCGGCACTAGTAATCTGCTTTGCATTGTAGATGAGTTTCTCTTCTGGATCAGTGGGGATCTGTTGGGCCTGCACAATATTCTCCCAGAAGTTCGATGGCTGCAATCTAGTCCATAAGTTGGGAGGGAGAAGCTTATGGCTAGCCTTGTACTCAATAATAAAAAGCAATGTTTCAAATTCTCCGTCCCTCCAAAATACGCAGAGTTGGTCGGACCAAGGCCTCCAGCCTTGGTGTATCTGACTTGTCAGTTCTGGTTCTTCGTCAAGTGTATTGGCGTGGTTTTCAAATGATATTCCCGACCCAAGAGAGGGAAGTTGGCTGCCGGTATCGAGCTTCAGCAATTCTTGAATTATGGAAATGACTTGTTCTTCGACAGCATATCTCTCGTAGCTCATGAGATCAAGCTCACTGCCCAGTTGTCGACGGCAGACAAGCTTCCCAACAGTTTCCAGGCCCACAAGCAATGTAAACACTGCTAAAGGGGCTGTTTTGGCAGGATGAAAAAGACAAGACACCCTGTTGAAAAGCTCATCGCGCTGATGGGGAAAATCCATCCATTCACAAAGGGTGGTGGGGCAGTAGCGGCCAGTGGGCGCGGTGATCAAACCCTTTGTAGTTTTGGATTGTTTCGGCTGGATGGTAAGCAGTATACTGAGCAATTCATGGCAAGAATGAAGAAAATGTTCAAAAGTCGTGGGGTCAACTCTACTCTCCAGTCCTTGTCGGAGTTCTTCTTGTAGCCTCCGCTGTTTTCTTTCTTCCTGCAGGTCTAGCTGTGTAGCGTGCAAACGTTGTTCAAGGTGCGTCCATTCCTCCTCTCGAAGTCTTCTTTCCTTCTCAAAAAGGAGGCGATAGTCCTCAGGCTCTTGAGGCATGCTAACTTCGTCAGGTTTCGCCAGTGAGATCGACCGCAACACTTGACAAATTGTGGAGTGAAGATTGAAGTAAGTCGTCGGTTCAAGCTTGCCTTGCGAAGCAGGTGGTTTGTTTGTTGGTGCGGGCCCAGGTCCCGTGATGACATCTCAAAGCCATAGCAGAAATGGGGAGGATTTGTAAACCGTAGATCCACTAGTCCCGATACATTTATGTCAGAATATACATTTATCCAAATCCACAGTTGTTTGGAAGTTTAAAAATATATACATTCTGAATTTGGAAATGTAGCTTCCAATCCTCAATATAGAAATTGGGAAACATTCAAACCCCTGATTAATGAATATATCTAGAAACATTCAGGATACCTTTTCAGGTTTATAAATGTTTATAGTATAGAAATCATTATAGTATAGAAACCATTATAGTATAGAAACCATTATAGTATAGAAACCATTATAGTATAGTTACTCCAGCAGACACTGGAGAGATTTCAACTAATGCACAATACTACATACATTAAACCACTCAATTCATCTATAAAAAGAAAACACTTCAAGTGCAGTTAAGAAAGATAGTCAGCAGAGCAGAATTCAGTTTGAGTCTTTCAGAATCTTTACTGACAGATATTATGTAAAGACTTGGTTTGCAAATTGCAGATAGACTGATTATATAAATCTTATTCTGATTTATCTGCAAAATCAGCAAATCCAGTACCCTCTTATACTGAATTTCATAAGCAGAGAACATGGTAAAAAAAACCCTCCAGCAGCTGCTCTGGTTGTGAGTGAATATACATCTTATTTGTCTAATCTTGATGTCCAACACACAAGTATACTTAACCAGATTATTGAGTTTCAATGTAGTGCAATGCACATCTTTATTGAATGTAAAGATCAGCTTTTGAAACAATTAAATTGGGGTTGAATCTTCACTAAGCATATATTAATATGTCCAATCACTGCTGTATGAAAGTCAGAGCTTTTGCAAAAAGAAATATATAATTGGTAGTTTGAAAAGCTATATGCTTTGTAAATCAAGCAATTTCATGACTTTGTGGCTAGCTGGTAGTTGGCAGTAGACATTAATTAAGATATGGGAGAGGGTGGTAGCATATGAATTATCAGCTTTGTTAGCATTCTCATCATCATCTTGTTGCTTATTATGTTCTAATTACACAAGATCTTGCATAAGAATCAGACATTCACAATGAAGTTACTTCATCTGACTGCTGATATAGAGTTCTGATTTCATAAGAGCCCCATCAAGAACCAAGAATATAGTACATTTGAAGCTCTCATGAATCAGTAAAATCTTTTTAATATTATGCTTGTTGATTTGCTGCACAAATACTTTATATTTACAGTATTTATTCTCTCTGATCAGTATATTGCAGTTATTTGATACAGCATACTTCTTTGCCTGATTAATATAGTGCATCTTAATATGCATGTTTGGTTGATGTTTCAAAGCATGTAACATCTTATCTGCTTTCAGAATAATACTGACAGTGTTGATCAAAATGTTCTCTGTTGGGGGTATTATAATCTGATTGAATACTGGTGAATTCTGCTGTAATTTCAGCATTGATACTGTCCAGCTAGTCAACTGTGGTGTCTCAGCAGTTATAATAGTAGCATCTATCACTTTCTGAAGTATAGTTTAAGTATTAATAACTACACTTTTAAGTTTATTGTATCTGACAGATGTCTGAGAAGTCAATAGTGAATTGCTTCTTGCAATAACATTAAAGATTTTAGCAAGTAATAAATACAGAATGTCAGAATCAATTAACTGTTCATTAAAGAAGTTATAGAGAGCCTGCTGAACAACAGTCTGAATCCAGTCAGGCTTTAGAGTAAAGCAGAGTATAATTAAGATTATAATTAAAGCTCAGATGTGTTTCTGAATTTGATAGAACTTCAGATAGATAATTAGAAATTACAGTTGGGTTCAGCATCTTTAAAATGAAAATCTCTATAGAATTTGGCAGTATTTCTTCTGCCCCTCAGGTGTCAATATATGTGATATCAATAATATATGCACAATTTTGGACAGGCCTGAAAATTCACTATAACAGAGGTCAGAGAGGAAAAATGTTACCAGATTCAGTACTGGACAGATCTTCAAAACTGAAGAACTTTTCTTAGTCAATTCATGAATCTTTTACAGTACTTCTTGCTCACAAACAGTCTACTTTATCTTAATTTTGGCTCACAAATTAAGTAGCTGGTAATGATATTGACTGTATTTCATCAAGTTGAAATTCATATTGAATCTCTCTGCATTAGAGACAGTACAGCTTCAACAGAAGACTGTTGCAGTAGAGTATTTGATTCCAGTATTGTTATTTTGCTGCAGCATGTCATCAAGATAAGTAATACAAGAAGCAATGATTCTGACAGTTTCTTTACCAGTTATCACAATATCAAATTCTCTTTCAACTGCTTGTAAACTGGGAGCCAATGTCTCCATAACATCAGAAAAATTTGTAGCATAAGGCCCAAGAGCAATTATATATACATTGTTTTGTTGTCTTCTTTCAGAATCATTAAGTCCTGCAGAGATCATATAGAAGCCAGTTATATTTCAGTACATGTTCCAATATAGACTGAATCCATTAATGAACAGCAGGAAGAGAATGAATATAGTTTTCTTGATAGTATTGCCTGGGCAGAGCATCTTAATCAGCATATCTCTTCTGTATGCTGTAATTTCCAGTTCACTTCAGAGCAGAGTACTAAGTTAGAGCTCTTGTACAGATGATATATAATGAATTGTATTCATTACTTGCTGTATAAAGAACTTATTTATTTCTGAGAGTTTGTAGCTACCTGATCTGTTAAAGATGTAGTTAAGATAGACATCCAGTCAGGCTAGAATATTGTCTTCATATATAATATGAGTTTTCTGGTCTTCCAGTAAGAGCAGCTTGTTTGGGCAAAGTGAAGATCTCAGCAAATGAATTCTTTTATTAAAGCTGTTGGCAGTAATAGTGTACTGGACAATAAGAATAATTTTACTGAATTTTGTGCAGGCCAGTCTTCAGTTCTGACCCACAAATTAAATTCTTCTGATATGAATTTCTTGTTCATTTCAAGTACACTTACATGCAGCATTATTGCATCTGAAATGAACAAAATCAGAAGAAAAGACTGATGTTCCATCAGAATATTATGCAAAGTCACCTGACAAATATCTAATAGAGCTCCCCCAGCTCCATGATTGCCACAATTTGATTGGGTTGTCAACTAGATTAGTTATACCAATATGTATCTTCTTGTGAAATACAGGAGATCTTGCCAGTAATAATAAAAGAGCCACAGAATTCTGAAAGAATAAATTAGATGTGAGAGATGTCTGTATTAGTTGCTTCTTGACAGATAAAAGAGTTCACATTTTTAATGAAACAGCCAGTATGGATGCCTGTTGGATAAGAAGTATAGAAAATTAAGCTCTGCATTTCTTCTTCAATATGCTCAGTTTTAATGATAGAGATCTCAGTACACTAATGTCTTCAGGAATCTGTAAGACTTTCTGCAGTATCTTGTAGTATCAGTAAGATATTCTCAATTTTTCACACCATAATTCTAAAGCAAGCATGAAGTGGTCCAGCATTTTATCAGGCTCTGCACACACATGAACTAGAACCTCTGATGGGTCATTCATTATAGTTAGAATGTAGGTCTCAGCTAGCTGGTCACCCAATAAATTCTCTAGTTGTGAATGAAAATTGGAATCTTTATTGCTAACTGAATGCACTGGATGTAATATAATCTGTAACCAGGGTTTAGATTCAAGCTCTTCATACTGTTGTGATTCATTGTTATCAACTGATCTTATAAGTAGAGCTGCTACTGCTTCTTGTATAATCTTCTGCATTCTGATATCTTCTGATTCAGAATGAGTGTCAGATAGAGCATTAGACAGAGCATCAGAGGCATCTGAAAGACTTGCTGCATTCTGTATATAGTAATTAGAATGATACAGACTGACAGAGAATTCAAGATCTTATACTTAATTCTGACTTCTTAGTTTGATTGTTCAGCTGAATATCAGGTTCTACTGAAGATAAAATGTGATTGCAATCTTGTGATTTCTGTAACAAATGAACAGGCTGTCTGTATCTTTGAAACTGTAAGACTGAAAATAACAAATAAAGTTGTCTTCTTCAAAACATATAGTTCTCTATACATCTCAAGTATCTTGAATTTTATATGTTTGCTTGAGATTTATATGCTAGTTTCTGCAGTAGTTAAGTTTCAAGTTACAGAAACAGTAAGAGTTGCTACAGAATTTCTTTGGGACAAAGTATGTAGAAATTAGAAAGAAAATTGCTGTTTGATTGGAGAATTGAATATATTATAGCAAAGTTGAATGTTAGAGCAGCTGTAAAATATGCCAACTGTACTGCAGATCAACTGTAATATTCTGATCATCTAGATCTGTAATTAGCTCTAAGAGATGCAAGATCAGTAATAATCTGCATTCTTCTGGATAATCAGCCTATTTTAAAGAAATCAATCACTTAGTGGTGTTGAATTTTAGAATGTAGGAGAATATGAATATAGATCTGAATAACAACTTGGGCAGTTAAATATACTTCAAGTCAACTATATAATAGATAGCAAACCTCTTTAAAATTCAAGCATTCACTCTTGTTCATTCTCAACAGCAATCTAATAGTCAAAATGTCAGAGACACAGAGCACACCAGTACTAAAAAGAACAGCTTGCACCTTCTTATAGACTCAATTGCACAACATGTCAAAGACTCAAGAGATATTATTTAGTTTGAATACAAGTATCTGAACTGAAGTGTTCTCTAATCATACAGAGATTGAAAAGCAGGTTCAAGTAATGGAGCACAAGATACAAAATTGGGTGCAATGAGCCTATATATTGACATTAAATACTGATTCAATTCCCAATATCATCCAGAAGATGCTGAGCCTTGAGAACTAGAAAGCCAGAAATGACTCATATTTTTGTGAACTTTCCAGATACATATTGGACCTCTGTAAAGATTGAAAATGTAAGATCTTAAGTAGCTTGAAGATCAGAACAATATTTCTAAACTTCTAGTTATAATATAAACTGACTTCATTTGTAGAATCATGTCAGGAAATGTATTAAACTCAGCTTAACTGAGAATTCTAATTTTAAACTTCATGAAATAATCAATTAATAAAAGCTGATCAGCTATTTTGTCTAATTATTCAAGTGAGACCAATTCTGTAAAGTCTTTTACTGGATCAAGTCATGTGTTAATTTTGAGAAGTCAGCTCTACAAGAGAAATGGTATTTTGAACATAAGTTAATAGTAAATCTTAATTACCATGATTTCTGCTCTGACAGTTATAGCAATAGAGGTGTATGCAAATTTAGCAGCATACATGAAGCTGTATCTTGATGACAATAGTCTGAAATAAAATATATTCACTCTATTAATCTACATCTGGAATTCTGTACTCAAGCTCTGGAACTGCTTGACACAGAAACCAGAACTAAGAGATGTTAATTCAGATGACTTCACTCAACAGAAGATCCAATCAAGAAAGTCAAAGACTGTTCATGTTGAAACTTTATCAGGAATTCTGAATGCAGTTCAGTTAATATCTAGTATACTGTTCAGGAAACTTAATTCATGTCTGGCTCAGGCAGTGCAAGCTCTGCAGGAGCCAGAGAATGATAATTCAGACAAGAAGAATCAGAATTCTTTGCAGAATATTATAAAGAATTATTTTAAGACTGCAACAAATCAGTCTGTTTGTTTAAAGAGATCTACACCAGCTGCAACTGGTCACATGCTCCAAAAGAGATGCAGATTCTAGTTGAATACATGAAAAGATGTCTTCTTGAGTTAAAATTAGCTGTTAGTTTGTGCTTTAAAATAGATTTCAGAGTTTGATATCTAGACTTCAATGTAATACTCTGTTATATCAATGCTTGCAAGAGCTGAATTTCACTATATTCAATATATATCTCTTTATTGTTCACCATAATCAGCTATAGAAGCTCTAAGCAAAATGAGTTAGCACTTAGTAATGTATAAATAGATATGTTTCAATTAGAAAATTTAAAACAATCAAGTGAACACTCTAGATATAATAATCTCTTTTCACACAAAATCTCTCTTTTCTTCTCTTCTTTTCTTTCTTTTCTTCTCTTGAGCTTATTATATTTCTTGTTGTCTCTCTCCCTCTATTCTAATATTGAGATAAGTGGTGAATTTCAGAATGAAATAAGAAACTGCAGCAAACTGAAGAATAATATATACAGAAATAGTAAAAAATGACTCTGCAAACACATAAATTAGCAGCAGCTCAGAATAAGCACTTTCTGATGTTCACAAAGAAGAAATCAGAGTGAAAGCTCTTAGCTGTTAAAGAAGAGCTTACTATAATAAATGATACACTCTGTAACTGCTGTTTAATGTTTGTGTATATAATGTACATTAAAAAGTCTTGTTTCTGCAAGCAAGGAACCACAAAGACCTGCACTAATTATACAGAAGATAAAAAAGTCTGTGCTTCTGTTTCTTTAGAGCTGTAGAAGAAAGTAGCAGTATTGCTGTCTAATTATAATAATTTTCTCAGACTTAAGAACACAATACTTCAAGAGAAATTAAAAGCCAGTATAGTGAAACAGACTGCTGATTTCAGTAAATTGCTTGTCAAAATAGTATCTTTATCAGTCTAAACTGATAAATCTTTCTCTTTCTCTCTCTTCAATGCTGAAGTTGGTGCTGCCACTTTAGCAGTATTAGAAAAGCTTGTATCTATCCAAGCCAAATAAAAAGAGCTTGCAGAGTATACATTCTGCTCTGTTAAGATAGATTAAACTGATTAAAGATTATATATTCAACTCATACTAATATAATTATATATATAGAATATTGAAAGAATCTTGATTAATATCTGCCAGAACTTAAAGTTTAATTGTTTATCTTCTGTAGTTAGTATACTTGATGCAATATTAAGATAAATTGAACTGACTTTGATATTTAATAACAGAAAAAGCAAAAGACAGAAGAAACTATCTGTAAATCAGTAATCAAGATAGACTGATTTGCTGCTGCTCTGCTCTCTGCTGTATTTACTTCTTTCTCCCTCTCTCTTATTCTGATCACATCTTCTCTTTTTGTTCAGTTACAGCTGAATATATCTGTGTTGGGCCTGTCTCTAACTGAAGGCAGTGGAGCTGATTTGCTCAAAAGTATGATCAGGTGGTCTGAATGGGCTTGCTCTGATGATTCTTCTGTACTGGTCTTATGTCCTGTCCCCAAACCAGAGACTCCAACTGGTGAGGAGGCTCCCAAAATTTAAAAAAAAAAAAAACTTCATTATGATTTGGGTTGTGCAGGTGGTTGTGTAATACTTAGTTAGTTTCTAGTAATTGAAAAGCTTCCAAATTGGGTTCAAAACCCTCAATTGGTGCATCATACATTCCAAATTCTCTATGTTTTGGACCCTTTATACGTGCATTGTAAATATATGGTTGATCTATGGTTTCAAGCTTGCGACCCGTGGTTCAATGGGTTGTGTCGGATAAACGTTTTCCGACGGTTGCCCGAAAAGCTGACTGACCTTCTGGAGAAGGTCAGTCAATCCCGTGATGACGTCTCAAAGAAGGTCAGTCAAATCGTTCCAACACCATGTTAGAATTTGCATCCGCATAGCCAGAAATCGCGGGTCGCCCCGAGAAGCGACCTCCCAACCACGTCGTCTCCTGCCCTTTTGCTTACCTTCTTTTATGCATGGATCAAAGCGAAGAGCAAGAGGAACATGCCGCTGACTTCATTGCACCTCGAACTGCTTATCGAGATTGTCTCCCAGGTATTCCCCAGCGCTCCTGCGGGAAGAATGATAGGTTGACCGTCCTGACGCGGCTGCCGCAGGTTACAGAGAAAGGTGACTTGAAGAGCCTGTGCGAGGTTTCTATGTTGTTCACTGGAATCTCGATTATTCTGACACCGATGATGATCTCCAAATGAAGACGGCAAGGTCTTCCTGGGGAAGCTGGAAGAGGCAGTCATTTGCTTTCTTAATGTTACGCTAGTTACGCCTTCCGTTGATTGATTAGTTAACGTAATCCACCCCCGAGCGGCTCAACACGTGACTTTTACAAGGTCCACCCTGGCTTACATAAGGGGTCCGGGTCATCTGTCCTGGTAATAAGAGTGCTTGACAGAAGTTTCACTAGCACCAGCTGAGCTATTATTATGCTGAGTGGCTTCCAGCTGCTGGTGTAGGTTCTTGTTCATCTGATTCTGGGCATGTTGATAGTTCAGAAATCATGCTGGTGTGTTTTATTCCATTTCTTCTATTACTCTGTGGCTTGCTTTAGTATCTGAAAGAGACTCTGGAATATAGGTATCTGATTTGTGTTTGTAGTTTATGATTCTTATGACTGCTGTTGATATCTTGAAGTATGGGTGCAAGACTGGCTTCTTTAATACTGTCTCTTGTGGCTCTGTTCTTTCCTATTCTTCCATTCATAAGCATCTATTTCATAGAGTGAGAGAAGAAGCAATATGTAATGTCATGGGCCAAGCTGAAGTTACTAGCTAAGACTCTATATACATGAATGTATTGCTTGGGGAGAGAGAAGAAAGATGGTAGGCAAGCATATGTATGATATATTCACAACATTTGTGTGTGATGCTGGGCCAAAAAGGGAATGGTGTGGAGGTCTCCTGCACGGCATGGCATCGAGGGTTTGGTCCGAGAAGGATAGGGGTTCAACCCCCCTACACTGGGGCAGTTACGCGCGGGTACGTAGGTACCCCTTTGGGTGAGTGCGTCCCTAATCAACCACGTTGTGTGTACCTACCAACTCCCTTCTCTTTCAGTCCCCCCATCCTCCAAACATCAACATCAACATTGACAGCATCCACCATCGTCCGTCAATCAGCCATCCAAATCTCATCATGGCAACACCCGAGTACCATCCGTTCAATAACCCGCGGGAGGTTGGCTGGCTCATGGCGGATCTTTTCGATCTGTACTGCTCCTATGAGCCAGACTCCTTCAGCTTTGAGTGGCTGCAAAAAACAACTGACCTAGAAGTTTATTGCAAGGACGCCACGGAAGAGAAGATGGATATTCCAACATCACCTGCTCTCCTAAAGGCTATCCACAACTGCTAGAGAATTTCTTCCCCAGGGACAACTCGGAGGCTCCCCAGCGACCACAGTTTCACTGGTTTTATGGAGACTGCTGTCGACGAGGTCCGAGAAAAAGTTCAGATCACTGAGCCAGAAGAGTAAGAAAAAGGCACCCATTTTAGCTCTGATACACAGCTCGTCGGCTTTTTCTTCTGACCTTCTCACAGGTTTCTTGGCCCACTTTTGTACAAGATTGGTGCAGGCTTTATTGTTGACGGCCACCGCCGCATTCGTGGATCTCGCTTCTTTCAACACCGTCATAATCACTGGAGCTGTATGATTCGGGATCACTCAAGCCCATTCGACCCACGCCAGCAAGAGAATCGCAGAGATTACCTTCTGAAGAGTGAACTTATTGCTTGATAGTGAGAAGAAGAAATAAACAAAATCTTCTTAATCATCCAAATTATGGCCTGCCTTCTGGCATACACCCCAGTCTTGTGCCAGCAAGTCCAGGGACCCATCCACGCAGACATTGGTATCGCGTCACCCACTTCGCGCCTGACCGTAACGTTACTATTTCTTGCCTCTCATGGCGAGCTCCTTGGCCGGCGGAGCCTCAGGCGGGCTGAGAATCCACTTCATAACATCATAAGCTGTGCTCTTGTCATAGTTATCCTTGCCGAAATTGTATATAGCCCTCAGCGTAAAAATGAGCTTTGGGAGCTTGTCCGATGGGTTGCAGGTCACTTGGATAATGCGCACATTCCCGGGAATAAAAGTCACGATTGTGGCCTGGGGGATATATCAGCATTCGTACTGCCTGTGGAAAGGAAGGGAGGGGAAAAGCCAAAAAGCATAAACATACAGTCAAGAGCCCACCCTTGTATCTCAGCTTCGCGCGATATTCCTGCTTCTCGCAAATCCAAATCATCTCGTTCAATCTGGCGGTATATGATAGCACTAATGAATGCAAATTTGCCATTGTCAGGGTTGCGTTTTTGGCTTCCTGGATTTACAAGTGGTGTTAACCAGATAAGAAGCCCAACAAATGCAAACAATCCAATCAGGCTGAGGAAGAGTTGTCTTTGAGGGAAGTGCTGGACAAAACAGGGTGGAGAGGGGATGTGAATTATGTGAACTATGCGAATTACATTCAGCAACATCCTCGGCAGGTTCGCAGAGGCTATTGCTGCTGGTGTGAAGAAGAAACACAAAACAACAGTGAATGTAACAAGTGTGGACACAAATTAGTCTCATGTGCGGAGTGCCTATACCAGGCCACGAAGAAGAGAGAGGATGCAAGATTGAAAAATTCAGATGAAACTGAGCAGGGATTGAGAACAATGCAGGTGTGGTTTGATGAAGAGTCTTTAGTAAAGCACATTGTCACTTTGTTCTGCTCCTGTTCCAGGGCATATCACTTGCACCTACTCAGAAAGCTTTCAACATGCATAGCTCTCCTTATTTGTGTATCTACTGTGTAGAGATTGTTTTGCCATCCATCAACCTACCAATCTCTGTGCTCTCTTCCAGAACCCAGAAAGCTTTTTCCTCCCCAATCATAAGATCCTCCTGCACTAACATGAGGAGCAAGATAGGAACTAGCTCCTTCTGTGCATATACCATGCCACTGTATGGCCTTGGCGGCTGCACGGCAGCAACACACTGGACCTCAGGGCCAAATTCACACATAATGTGCTCAAGCCTATGAAGGGTTAGGACAAAGACCGTACACCTTGGAGTGAAGGTTGAGTCTTACAGAATATCAAACCCACAAAGTCTGTAATACCCAGTCATCAAGGGCCGACCCCCCCCCCCCAACATCCCCAGCAGTTGCAATGCTTTTCAGTAGTCTCTGGCACATTTCCCTGGAGGGTGGTTTGGAGGTCGACATTCAGCCACTGTCTGAGGGGTTCATGGTGTCGCTCAAGACACTTGTCCAGTGTAGCCCAGTCAATCATTGGATACCTGCAGTCAGCCCACATGCAATGAGCATCTTCTAACCGGTGCATTTCACACAGGAGGATCTGCTGACATGCCGGCATCCATGGCCCCCTTGTGCCATGCTGAGATAGGAGCGCTTTGCGAATGCATTGCCCGCACAGAGGACAGGGTGCGAACCCAGCCGCATCCCCAGATTTGATGTTGCCAGCCAGGGATTCACCCAACAAGTGTGGATCAATGTGCGTCGGTGATGTCGCACGCACGCTGACCGCGCGACTACTCTCATCCCCTGGAGACATGCATCCCGAGTCGGTGGAGGAGGAGATACTTTCATTGCAGGTCAAAATGGCCGGTGGGGCCGCTGCTGTGTTCAGTCGTTTTGGGGGCCTGGTATCTGCGCAGCCGCCATCTGAACACTCTTCACTTGGCGGCAGTGTGGGTCGCGTCCTGTCAAGCGCTGCTCATCATTTCCTGTTCCTGTACGGAGTACGGAGTACTCTGTACGGGCACATCGCATGAACTGATGGAGAGCGGATTATGCCCCATCACTGAACTCCCAGAAACGATCTGTGATTTGACAAGACGATAAGCAAGCTTTGAAGAAGTAGCATCTTTACGAAGTACTCCATAGAGGGATCTGAATTCCACACTTCCGTCCTCTCAAGCTTTCCGTATAGTTATTCGTTCGCAAGGGAAAGTCCGTCGACCAACACCCATCCATATTCAAATCCCAGGGGCAGCGCCGAGGACGGAACATATTATCCCGACATTTGCTTCCCGTTTGCATGAAGGGATCGACATGTCTTAAAGTCCACCCGGTGAAAGCTCTGTTCGTACTCCGTACAGGACTTTGGAGATCGGCGTTGTTAATGCCCGACTGCGCGACACCCCAGCCGCCAAGCTTGAGCCGCAAAAGCAATCATACATGGCCACCGTGCGAAGTCGAATTGGTGGAGGGAAAGAATACGAGCAACTCTCCCCAGTCATGACCCTCAATTTTCCGAACGGGAAGATTTTCAATGTCAGCAAAGGCGCCCTCGACAGCAAAGAATTGCCGAATGCTACTCCGGACTCCGTACTCGGTTCGCAGAAAAGGAAAACATGCAGGATAATGCCTGTTTGATGGCCAGCTGTACTGCTGTTGTGCCTTCAGAAAAGAAATCCATCTAAATTTGATGCCGCTGAATGATCGCGGATGCCAAGCGACCTGCCTTCAAGGCCGCCAAGCGACAACTGTTATGCCTACGCTATATATAACTAGTTTGACGAGGCTCTTCTGGGCGTATACGAGTTTCAAAGTTTTAGCGTCTCCGACCCGCAGCACATCAAAGGCTGAAAGATGGCGACTGGCAAGAAATGAAATTGGAAAACGACAGTGTCAGCTCGGAATGGCATGGTTTACGGCGGCCGGACTGAGGCTCGAATGCGAGCCATGGGATATAAAAGAGACCGAATATCTAGGTTGAAAGGTTCGAGTGAAAAGTGCACCGGTTTTGTCAAACTTGTCCTCGACAACCATTCGTTCCTTTATATTTTCCTTCTGAAGACATTCGCTCGTTTTGACATATTTTTTGTTTCTCGTCAAAGGGATATCAGGTCAGTATTGGACAGTCCTATGGCTTGAGGATGGGTCGTCCCCTCTATGACGATATAATACTAACCGAGTTGTACAGCATTCCATTCACCCTGTTTCGAAACAATGATGTTTCTTAAGTCCGTTCTCGCCCTAGCGGTCGCTTCAGTCGCGACTGTCCAGGCGGCCCCGGTGAACGAGGAACGTGCAGCTCCTTCTCCTGTCCCTTCCCCGCTCTCTGCTGCCCCAGCCTGGCAGGCTCGTCATGGCCTTACCTCTAAAAAGTATCAGAGCACTTTCGACGACCTCCTTTCTCAAGGCTATCGCCTTACCTATGCCAGCGGATACACCGACAACGACAGTCCTCGATATGCGGGTATCTGGAAGAAGGTATCCACCACTGCATGGCAAGCAACCCATGGCCAGAGCGGCGCTCAATTCGATAAAACCTTCTATAAGCTTCGGGACCAAGGCTATCACCCCGTTGTTTTGAACGGCTACACTGTCAATGGAGATGACAAATATGTATCTATTTGGGATAAATCTAAGACTGGACCATGGGAAGCACGGCGTGAAATGAGCCAGGCGGGCCTCCAAAAGGTCTTCAATGAGTTGAAGAGCAAGGGTTACCGTATGGTTCATGTTAGCGGATATGCTGTTGGCAAAGAGGCTCGATTTGCTGGTATTTGGGAAAAACGGGAATCTGTCGCATGGGAAGTTCGCGTTGGACTCACTAGTTCGCAATACCAAACCAAGACGGAGGAAATGAAGGCGAAGGGATTCCGACCTGTCCAGGTCAATGGTTATGCCGTCAACGGAAAAACCTATTATGCTGCTATCTGGGAGAAGGACAACAGTGTCGCCTGGCAGGCAAGACACGGCTTGACTTCCAAGAGATATCAGGAGGAGTTTGATAAGCTGAACAAGCAGGGATATACGCCCACCGTTGTCAGCGGCTATCCTTCCGGAGACTCGGTGAGATACGCGGCTATCTGGGAGAAGAAATGAGAGCTATAAAGACCAACAGGGATGAAGATATTTAATTACTCTCCAACTTACATTGATGAATGGCGGTATACGGCAGCAGGCTGTAAATATTTTCCAACCAAGCACTTTGTGCAAATATATTATTTTGGCAATTGCATCTGTTTGCTCTCTATTTTGTGTTATTGCGGAATACTCTGCAGACAATCAGCAAAATTCCCTGGTCTTGTAAGCTGCCACATAGAAGATCAAGAAACTCTGGGAGAGCTACCACAGAGACGGGTGTATTTGTTAATCAATTTCTCTCCAATGCACTCTACCCCGTACAAAGTAATAGCTTTGCTTTTCAAGAATCAACATTCAGTTTCCCAATCATTATTCAAAAAAAGGAAAAAAAGAACTCTTCCGCAATATCTACCATTGGGACCCCATAACAAGCCGACATACAGTCCACAATGGCCCGAAATCATGCCCACATTTCTTTGAACTTTTGGTTGAATTCCGTCTGCAATAACTTGAAGCTCTTTAGGACATTGAGAATTCTCTGGTCTTTCCCACCAATTGCAGACATGGAAACTTCATCCCGAGCTCGTCCCCGATCTTCTAGGTCATTCTCTTTCTTCTTGGATTTTGATTCCACTAACTTAGAAGTCTCTTCCTCTTCTTCGTTTCCTTCCGCTTCGTCCTCCCAACTGTCAGCAACCGCCTTTCTACGAGGCACGGCGACAATAGCTGATGAAGCACTAGTTGTTGATGGCGCTTGTCCTGTCGGAAGATTCGTAGGGTTTGGCTTTCCCGTTGGTACGTTGCTGGCTTCATTCTGAATAGTTTCGACATCCAATTTTTCTTCATTTGCATCACCGGTGCCCATGACATCCAGCATATCGGCGTCCACCACTGGTGAGAGCTTGAGGAGGTTCTCAAAGCTAGTCACAATGGTAGCAAGGACCAGAGAGAAGTCGTTAAGCACAAACCATATATCGCCCTTGCGAATGCCGTTGTATTTCTCGAGAGCCTGATCATTTCCATGCTTGTAGAAATCGTACAGATACGCATTCAGTGGCAACTGGCCTTCTTCGTCGGGGAACACTCCCACATAAGGGACAACAGCCTTCTCCAACCAAACACCATTACGTACCGTCGTGCAAAGATCAGCAATGGTTTCCCAGTTATCTTCATGCCCGGATAAAGCGTAAAACGCAGAAATATAACGGACAGGCCGTGAACAAGGAGTCTTTAGCGATTCAAGGGACCGGTCCCCCCCGCATTTCATCCCAGTGAGAGGAAGATTGCAATCTGTCTCTGAAATGTGCTGATCAACAAAGGTTTTGACATACGAGCTATAGATTGAGAGAGTCTCTTGGTTGCTTTGCTTCAGAATCTTGGCTGCCTCTGGTGGTAAATGGGGAAGGACAACCAGCGATGTAGACTTTTTGGATGCCATCTTGAGATTTTCCAAGATTGATGGCCGAATCCATCGACGCCCAAAAAGATGTGACATAACGAGCATCATATTAAGGAGAATTGCTTTGGGCCTGCGATTAACATCTTCGCATAAGCGATGGAAATAGCCTCCTTTCAACAATGCATGGAAAGCAAAGCTAGCATTTTCGACGAAATAGAGATGGGACACACAGCCTGCAAAGTTTAGAGGGACACCAGTGGGGCCAAGAAGGTGGCTACGACGTAGGTATTCAATAGAGAATCGCAAGTGGTGCAAAACAGAATGTTTTGCCTCTCCTCCGCCGAGATAGATGCGTGCAGATGAAAAAACTGAGTTGATCATCTTCACTGCATTAGGTGCTAGCTTTGATTCATGTAACAACGCAAAAAGGCGAAGAACCAGGCTTGTTGTGATCGGGAAATGCCCATTAAGATCTGGAAGTTTAGAGCTGAGCAAGTGACAGACCTTTGAGTAGGGTAGGCCTTGGAAGACAACATTTCCGAGCATGTCAAAGCCGCGACGACCGGCACGACCGGCAGCCTGACGGAAGTTAAGCGCGGTGAGAAAAACAGAGTCACCTGAAAAAACAACAGTTTTGCATGGCATGTTGATACCGAGAGCGAGAGTTCCAGTGGCTATCACCACGCGCAGGTATCCCTTACGGAAAAGCATCTCACAAACCTGACGATATTTACGGTTCATACCCGCGTGATGAACACCAATACCACGGCGTAAAGCTTTGATTAGCCACTCATCAGATCGTCCCCTCAATCTGAGAGCATACTCATCAAATTCTGATGGTGTGAGCTTCTTAAGATCCGCAAAATGGAATCCATCCACTGGAGCTGTAGGGTCGAATAGCTCATAAGAGCTGGTCTCAGGGCTCACTGTTTCTCGCATACGATCCTCTTGTGATATGCCATCGCCCTCATCTTTTCTTTTACCTTTCTTTTTCGCTTCTACTGGGGTTTTCTTAGCTAACTTCTCCTCAGAACTTTTCCAAGCCTCCCAACCAGCAAGTTTATCTTTCCAGGCAGAACTCGAGTCTTTCCATTGTTTCTCAGCATTTTCGAGCTGCTCGAGGAGATGGCGGCACATGTCCTCACAACCACTTCGATCATAATTAAAAAAGAGTGCTGGAAGACCTCCTTGCTCATGCAGCGAGCACGCCAAAGGGAGAGTCGTGTCCAAGTAGTGGCGCGCAATAACCTTTCTTGGATTTTCTGATGTCGTGATCTTTCCAGACGAGATTTGAACCTCCGGCCGGCTTGCAGCACGCACGGAATGTTCTAGTTCCCCTAGAACCATTTCAAATGGCGATTTTGGATCCTCAATCCAAGTCTTTAGCAGGGCCTTTAGTTGTGCTTCCCAGTGGACAATGTCGACCTTGCGAATAACGTTAGGCAGAGCGACCGCGGGGTCAAGAGATTTTTCAACTGGAAAATCTTGACTTTGATATTTCATCATAGCCCTCCATAACATCCAGCAATCGCGAGCTTCAAGAGTTAGGTCGTCCGGCATTCCTCTCAAACGATCCACTACCAGAGATGCTACTGGGTGCATAAACGCCATCCCAGCCGCATTGTCAAGGCCAGGGGGAGCAAATGGAACAGAGGCTGGAAGGCCATTAAAAAGAAACCTCTTGGGTGGTTTGTACACATATTTTCGAAGATCAGAGTAACGGTGGCTGTGCTCGATCATTGTGAGATCGATGCCGTTCGCCTTTTGGGTCATTTGGAGCCATTTACAAAACTTTTGTGGATTTCCAATTGTGGCTGAAAGCGCTATAATGGGACAAGGGGCAAGAAGAAGGAGCTGTTCCCATACAACACCATCGTCCACTTGACCAATACAGTGTACTTCATCAAAAATGATTCTCTTCACTCGCGACGACCATGAGGTCGCATTCGCCGGTGAGAGGAGCATTATTTGCAGGATATGCGGGACTGTGACCAGAACCTGGCAGCCTGTAGGGTTATTTATGCGGTAGTCGCGTGTGTGTATGCCCCATACAGACTTCCCACCGTGTTTGAACGATTTGGAGAATCGAGCCTGAATTTCTGCAGCAATTTGGTTGACAAGTGCTTTGGTTGGAGCAACGTATACCAAAACGCCGTCGTCATCATCTTCGAGGACCTTTTTCATAGCATAAAATCTAAGATGCGGTGTTAGCACTGCCAGCCGAAGATACGTAAATCATAATCTAGGAAAAGAAACAATAAAGGGAGGTAACTCACGAGATAAAGGTCTTTCCTGCGGAGGTGGGTGCAACCACAAATAAGCTCCTCTTCGCGTCAATCTCATCTAATACTTTACGTTGCCACTCATCTGGCTCGAAGTCGCGGACACGAGGATCGGGTGCCGAGCCCATATTCCTATCCAAAAATGGAGCAGCATGGAGCAGTTGAAACTCGGTAGGCGACACCCCAATATCCAAGCTTCCCACTTTTCCCGAAGGAAAGACCGGAGAACTGACAGATGATTTTGATAATTTTCGCCCTGGATGAAAGTCAAGCTCTGCTGGTAGTCCAAGGGCCTTAATGGTGTTGGTAAGGTATGAGGCAATCTGTAATGTGATAGCTTCCTTCATTTTCGCCATGCTACAAACCATATCCCAAATAAAGGCCGCGATATGGAGGAAACGACGCCGTTCACCAGCGACACATTTGGCTATCCATAACTCGACCAAGATGCTAAGCAAGTAGATCGAAACTTCGGCTTGGATCATTGCCCGCTTGTGACTTGGACGAGTAGCAAGGTACTGCTTCGCCTTAAGAAAGCGTGTTGCGGGTTGAGACTCTTTGTCGAATATGGCCTTCATGGCTATCCATATTTGAATTTGCTTTTCAACCATTTCGCTGCGCTTTTTCTCATTTGCGGCTGCAGCAACATCCTTTGCAGAAGGTTTATTTTTAGCGCTAGGTTTCGTGGAGCCTTTTTTCTCCTTAAATTTAGGAGGCGGATGCTCTATAGCCTTCGATGAACTTGATGGCTTTGGCTTCGCATCCTTCCCGGAGCGCACAAATACCGTCTCCGGCTCAAGCAATCCGCCTGTGGTGTTGGTTAAGCTGGCTGCATAATCTCTCATCTCAGCCATGAAGAACTGGTTACGTCGTTTTGCAAAAAAAGCCTGCTTCTCTGTCATTTTCATGGCGTTACTCTTGCCACCAACTGGATGATGGTGATTATGCCAGTGGCTGAGCTCTTTGAACACCCTAAAGGTCTCCTTCTTCATATTCGGGTCTTCAGATTTATCAAGTAATAGATGAACAGGAGCGAGATGGGCATTAAAGACAGGGTGGCTGAAGGGGAGAACCGGTTTGGTGCTCTTGTCTGTGGGAACAGCTTTGCCCTTTTCGAGTTCCTGTTTTGTCGCTTGATTCCCTATGGAAAGTTAGAGATTAGGAGAGGAACATAGGGTAAAGCTTGATTCACCTAGAGCTAATGGTTCGAGCTGTAGACAAACACCGCAGAGGCGCTCCAGACAGGATGCGAGAGTGTCAAATTTTGAAATGACCGAAGGCTCAAAACTAGCACGGGTAGCATGTCTACCTAAGGAATGGAAGAAGAGCCGGCCATCGATCAAGTCTGCAAGGTCACAGCGTATAAAGTTATCTGTAACAACTTTTCTCCACGAATTGGACGTGAGGACCATGTGTGCAGCACCAACGAAGCTCTCAAAATAGTGACTTCCTGTGACTATGTCTGCAGGTTTGACTACACGATCAGTGAGACGGCACTCATGCATCAGAGCTGCATGCAAGATCAAAGCACATGAAGCTTTCGTCTCTCCAGCATTCAGGAGGCCGGATTTGAACATCAAACTCAGAGTCACAATGAGCACTAGTTCTCTTTGGCTTAGACCCGCGCCTTGATAGCGGTCCACACTATCCAAAAGCTTTTGGATAATTTCTCTGTTTTCAGAGCTACCTAATTGTTCGAAGATTTCGGCTGGACTTGAGCGAGTAAGTTGTAGAAAAGGGATCTCTCTGGCGGAGTTAGGCTCCAAATCGGAGTCGCTATCTGCATCCTCGAAGCGGCTGTCAGAATGAAGCGTCTCACCAGCGAGCCTCCGAGATATTTTCTTGGCTACCAGAGAATTTCCTTCGATAATCATTGCCATAACCTGCATATTATTCTGTATTAGCTCTTGGACTTTTTTAACAGCGGGATTAGGTTCGGTGGACGACCTTCGTATCCCGACATTCTATACCATTGACCAGAGCTATATTATAACCCCGACCAACAAACCAATTTATCATATATCGAAATCCGAGAGCATGTATGGGCCCTTGAATCGAACCTTTGTCCGAGGCATCCTCATCGTCTATTTCTTCCGAACCATCTGCGTCTGGAGATTCAACTAGGGAAAGGATGCCCGTTTCGTCATCGAGTTCCTCCACGATATCATCGCCGTCGTTGTCGTCATCTTGATTATCGTGAACAGAGCCAGAACTAGAACCATGCCCAGACACCATCTTAGAAAAGGCACCGTCATGGCACATGATGAAATAAGTCGCCGAAGTAGTCAAGTAATTCAAGAAGTCAGTGGACCAATATGAATCGAACAGCTTGACTTTGATAGAAGGAACGGCTGTGCTAAGATTACCTTGCAAATGCTGCACTATAGCTTCCCGAGCTAGAAGACACTTGCAGTAGACATCTCGGGTAGCATTCGGAGGCACACAAAGCTGAGCATGCTCCTTAAAAAAGACAAGGTGAAAGTTACACTTTCGCTGGTGTAATCCCTGAAGGAACTTTTCTAGGATGTAGGTTGCGTGGAGCAGCTGGAACCCGGGGTTGAAGTCCAGCTGCTTGTCCGAAAATACGTGAAGGAGAAGCGAGTCGCCTTCGATTATGAAGAGTTCATCGCCCGCATAATCTCCTACGAGGTCAACGGTTCGAGACCATAGATTTGCGTACCTGGATTTTAGTTTAGAGTGCTAGTTGTCTCATCGTTAGGTTGAGTCCCTCACCAGGCTAAAAGTATGTGTCTCCGCATGCTGAAATGCTAAGGCTCAGAGAGGGCTTTAACAAGATAACACCGTCACAACAGCAAGTTGAGAAGTGTAGCATGTAATGAAATAGCTATAGAATATCAGTATACATAATAGCTGTAGCAGTTAGGCAGGTCGGAAAAGTGAAAGGAAATAGTAAAATGGACAAGACATGATGTTTGTCGATTAGAACTATTTATTTTCCATTGTGTGCAGAACTCGCAAAAAAGAGTGCTGGAGACATATTTCCCTGGTAATAAATCTCAGAGAGAAAGATAAATTGATATAGATACGGAGTATTGAGTATATGAATGTATACCAAGAGCTATATATACTCTGCCTCTCAACAATAGTATTGCAATTGCCGTTTGAGGGGCATTTCTAGCGTCCAGACTGCGAGTCCAGGCGCAATCGGGTATATTGTACCAGGAGTATGGTGAAGGTCAGGTTCGCAAAAATCGGAATGGTGAAGTAAAAGAAAGAAAGGTCGATGTAAGATTTGGTTGTCCTTGAAGCTTGGTGGTGATGTCTGATAAACACGCGGAACTTCGATGCCCCACGGGAGGGGTAAGGTTGGATCCATCGTTGGGCCGGAGCAAGCTTTCGCCGGCTGGCCGCCGCGTCGAAGTCGGGACCGGCAACCTTGGCCAATTCCCTGGGATGTTTTCGGTACGCTAGAAGGGGAACTCATGACAAAGCAGGATTAAGGAGAAATTAAAAGTAGAGCGAAAGACCATCAAGAAGTTTGCCTCCAAGTTCCATCTCAATGCCTTAGGCCACTCATCAGCTAGTTATTTATGGCCACTATGAACTAAGAACCAAATGCCTTATAGTGTGTGACAGTTAACCAGTTGTTAACTGGGAGATTGTACTCTGTACGAAGCACACAATTTATTATCCAGTACTTGTGACTATCTGATTAGGTACAGGCCTCCACTTCTGGCTAACTAACTATCAGGATTACATGCCTGGCGGCTCCTCAGAAGATATCAACCAAAACAAACACCAAAAGAATGAACTTCAGTTGAAGGAATGTACAGAGTATCTGCGAAAACAACTGAATGACAGACGATCTTCATATCAAGGACAAATCCTGCTAGTAGTACGGAGTACTCCATGCCAGCATACTTCTTCGCATGCAACACAAATAAATGCATTGTGAGGTCCGACCTTCGACGGCATCCCAACCATTTATGGTTAACAGTTTGCAGTTTAGGACACAATGAAACTCAAGTGTAATTTGTATTTTGGACACGCACTTGCTAATCAATGCTGTTATTTTCAAATCCTTGCCCTGGTGCTGAGGCACGTGGCTGCCAGTCACAACCTTCACTGTACTTCTTGTGGCGTTAAGCAAATGCTATGTGGCACTTGTATGCACTAGTCCTATTTGTTGCTCGCGAACCGTTAACTAGCCCGTGCTAAACATCCCACATCTTTGAGCCGGAGTTTCGGCGTGGGGCGATACGATTGAGCGGCGACTTCAAGCCGAAGCATGGCCGTCAATACTGTAGTTACTCAAATGAAAATATTTGTCGATAAGCAATCAGTCAAGTTATTACCACCATATCCGATCCGCAAACATACTGGCTGGAAACAATAAAAGCATGTCGGGCCTGCCGAGTATTCGCCACGCAACGAAACAAGGTACGGGAGTTAGCCGTTATGCCGAGCGGTTATCCCGCTCTCAGCAACTCCGCTCGCATCCTTCTCATTCCCCGGCGAAAAGATTGGCCCTTGTTTGATTGACTAACTGCAGCATAAACAAAGTACAGATGTTCCCACCATCCTAGCATTCATCAAAGCAGGCGCCTCGGACACCAACTCTCTGGACCTCGTCAAGGCCACGGAATCCACCCTCGAGCAGACACTCATCTTCGAAGGACCGTCGGACCAAGCGGCCTCACAATCTCCTAGGCCAGGATACGCGAGGGTTATTCTCCTCATCGCTCCCGAAGGCGAAACTGCTGGCATGGCGGTGTATTACTATAACTACTCCACCTGGCGCGCAGAACCAGGAGTGCTCCTAGAAGAGCTCTATGTGAGACCAGAGTATCGACGGAGAGGCTATGCTAGACAATTGATCAGAGAATTAGCCAAGGAATCAAAGAGAATCAATGGTTCGAAAGTGGAGTGGGTATGTCTGCGGAATAATGCACCGGCCCTGAAATTGTATGAGAGTCTGGGAGCGATCCGCAAGGAGGATTGGGTGACACTTTGGATATATGGGGATGCGCTAGATAAACTGGTAGGGGAAGAATAATGGTTTGACTTATATTCCAGAATAACGAAGATAATGGCCCTATCCGTTATGGTTGAATGTGCTTGTTTTCATTTCCTAATATCAAACATATAGAGGCCGCCCGAGGGACTTATAGCATTTTAGTCCCGAGAAGGATGCATGGAGGATGCACGGTGTAGAGCTTATATTCCTTTTCAATGGGAATCCCGCTCATACAGTGATATTAAGAACCGGGTGAAGCTGGCAACTTGGCAGCTAGACAACGTTTGGGGCATGTCTTTGATGAGCCATGGAACCAGTCAGAGCCTCTCCTACAGCCGCCAGAGCTCAGGATAACGTTTGTTTCGGAGTTAATAAATCTTTTCTCGTCTTTGCCTAGGAGTTGTCGCTCATGGGCTGTTAAGTGGCCCATGATTGGGGGGATAGAGGCTAGATCTTCTCGGAGACACTCCGATTTGGTCTTACGTGCACGTACAAACGCCAGCGGCATCATAAAAGAGACGTAGCTAACACAACGATCCAAGGATCCAAGGCATGGTTAGAAGGCTGCAGCAGATCTGCTTGGCTCCCCTTCAAATGCACTAGGAGGTCACGGAATTTTTTGTCAGGAACACGTGCAGATAGTCAGCTAAGGTGCCCAGAAGATATCAAATGTATCCTGATTTGCCAACAACCTGCTAACTTACGTATCCCTTGTCGAAAATCTTCCGGTTGAATAGGATAGAAAAGCCTTGGTTTGCAAGCAGCCATCGACTCTTCCTTGCCATCAGGCAGGCTTATCCAATGATATCGAAGTCATTCCATCAAAACCGGCGTCTCGCAACCAAAGGTGTTGGTTGATGATTTGTCCAAGGTCAGGGAGTTGGCGCAACCGTGGCTAGGCAATTGGGTAAAATCTGCTCGAAGTTTTGAATAAAGGTGTGAGTATATCAAGGATACACGGAAGCTCGAACTTGTGATTAACGAGATCAAACCCTCCAACGGCTTTGAAAGCACGGTGAGGAGGGCTGACCGGTAACACCCGGCCTGGGATCGACGCTTGTTAACAACAGGGCCCTATAGACTTTAATAGTATTAGCCTTGCGTTGAATCTTCCAATCCACAGCCTTTAAACCAAAGCTTAACTTTCAGGGCTGATAATCGTTGACGAAACCGCACCACTTGAGAGGCTTTTGCTCGCAAGGAGCCTCGGAAACTTCAAGACCTGGGATGGTCTTTCAAAGCCACAGAAAAATTTTCACTCTGCCCAGCCGGCACCATCCATGCTTGTCGTAAGCCTTGTTCCGATGGTTACATTTTCCAGGAGTCTAGCTATATAGAGTCCTCGGGCGCTCAGTTTGAACACAAGATTTCCTTTTAACACCTTTCCAGCAATAACATATTTCGAATATTGATATTAGGAAAAGCATCATATCACTTCTTTCACTACTTCTTTTCCCTGAGATATCCGATTTTCGTCGCGTATCTCTTCATCTCACATTCCAATTTCTTTTCCAACTGCATCTGACTACGAGCAGTTCAGCTCGTAGTTTCCACAGCTCTGGCGACCGTTAAGCAATTCGTTCCATCAGCTGGCACATGCGTGCTAGCTGTTGTTCTAGTACAGCAGCTGAAGCCGCCATAGAATGACCGCAACCGTTACTGACCGGTGGTGCTCATATTTTGCTGTTGTTATTCGACTCGCTTGTGGATTTTAACTCACCCGGATGGAGGCTGCTCACAGCTATCTTGGCTATCTTGACAGGATTGTGTCCAGACAAGGAAAGACAAACAGTGGCAGCCACATTCGAAGCGGGAAATCTCTCTTTTATTGTTTAGACTCAAGACCAAGATCATCCGGACGGCAACATGCGCTTCCTTCTAAGACGCTTGACCAAATGGCCTGGAGGTCAGAAAGTCGAACCTGAAAACCGACAAAATGGTAAGTAGACCGCCCTAGACGTCGGTTACGTCTCCTATCAGGACCTAAGATCGCCCAAATATAGTTAATGGGACCACCCACGCCAATTGGTGGCACATGCCTCTCGCGAAAGACTCGACATCTCCTTCGATCCTGCGAGCATTTGCCTCCATTCCTCCAGATTCTGCCCTTGGGTATATGCAATCATGCCGGCAAGGTCTCAGCCAAGCTGAAGCCGACGCACGCCTAAAAATCGCTGGTCCCAATGTTCTCAGTTCTAAAAATCCTCCGCCGTGGTGGAAGTTACTACTTCTAATTCTGCCCAATCCGTTTACTATTCTGCTGGTATTTTTAGCAATCATCAGCGTCGCGACGCCTCAGCCGGACTGGGTGAGTCCCTTATACTCCGACTTATCATTCGGACATTTTTGCTAATATAAAGAAGAAAACTTTCGTTATACTTATGGTAATGATCTTGATATCCTCTGCTGTACGCTTCTGGCAAGAATACCGTAGTAGCATCGCAGTCATCAAGCTCCAGTCTTCGGTCAGCGCAGACACGAAGGTTCGGCGACAATGCCCAACTTCGGGCAAATTCTTGGATGGCACGCAGACTTCAGAGTCCACAATTCATGTCAAAGATATTGTGCCGGGGGACATTGTCATCATCCGGCCCGGTCTCACTGTGCCTGCCGACTGTTTAATATTGGAGGCGTCATCCCTATACATCAGCCAGTCAACGTTGACCGGGGAAAATGAGCCGTTGCGCAAGACCCCTAATCTGCAGCCTGCGAAATTTGAAAAGGAAGATCCCAGGTTCTTCGAACTTGAGAATATCGCCTTCATGGGGACGAGCGTCATTTCTGGCAGTGGGCTAGGCTTGGTGTTGAGAACTGGTGATGGTGAGCGTGCTTCTGATAGTAAAATTCGAATATGGTTGCTGACCTTATCAGATTCGTTCATTGCGACAATAATGAAGCAACTGAACAAGAAGCGGCCTGTGAATTCCTTCCAACGAGGGATCCGAAACGTGACCTACATGTTAATTGGGTTCATGCTCACGATGGTGCCGATTGTAAGTGACTTCCCCTAAAATTGAATATACAAACTTGTATACTGATGCACTACAATGTAGGTTTTGGGAATTTCCGGAAAGACAACTGGAAACTGGGGAAATGCGGCCTTATTCAGCTTGAGTGTTGCAGTAGGGCTTGTCCCCGAAATGCTTCCGGCCATTGTGAACACAAACCTCGCGAAGGGAGCTTTCAGTCTTTCCAAGAAAAAGACCATCGTTAAGCGTCTCGACTCAATCCAGAACCTGGGAGGAATGTCAATTCTATGTAGCGATAAGGTAAGTTTTGCTCAACTCCTTGGGACAGAAGTCAGCAAACTAATTCGCCTTTGTACAGACTGGGACACTGACAAAGGACGAAATCACGCTTTCTGACTATCTCGATTGCTCAGGTGTGAGGAACCGGGGAGTATTCCAATTAGCCTTTATCAACGCCAAGTGTCAAGAAATTCAAGGGACAAGCATTGACTCTGCCATTATCAACTTCCAATCGCGAGAGCCAATGCAGACACCGCCTTACGAGGCGGTTTCCGAGATTGCTTTCACCTTTGAAAGACGGCGATCAAGCTGCATTATTCGAGGACCAACCAAGAAGCTCAAATTGGTCTGTAAAGGAGCATACGAGGAAGTGCTAGCTCTTTGTACGTCTGTTCGTGACGGGGCTAAGACTTTGAGCTTATGTGCAGAATGGCACAAAAAGCTTGCCGCCCAGGCCGAACGCCTCAGCTCTGATGGGTTTAGAGTGATTCTGGTGGCCACTAGGGAAGTTAAAGATTCCGAGATGGGCAACGAAGATTTCATTGAAGATGACCTAGAATCCAGCCTAACTTTGGAAGGTTTCCTGACATTCCTCGACCCACCAAAAGAAGATGCCGCAGCTTCAATTCAACGGCTGCAAAGATTGGGAGTAGACGTCAGGATTCTCACTGGTGACAACATGCCAATCGCTCTGAGGCTCTGCCAATTGCTAAACCTCGTCAGTTACGTCAGCGAAGGAGACGCTCAGGCCATAACGGGACCGGAATTGGCGAGGTTAGAAGGAACAGACCAATTCCACGATGTGATCAGAACATGCAAAGTATTCGCGAAGCTAAGTCCGGCTCAAAAGGGGCAAGTCATTTTGAGCTTAAAGGCGAATGGAGATTGCGTCGGAATGCTCGGTGACGGGATTAATGACTGTGTTGCATTGAGATTCGCGGACGTTGGAATTTCTGTTGATTCAGGAGCAGGGGTTGCGAAAGACTGCGCCGACGGTAAGATCTCGCCTTTTAGACAAGACTCAAGTAATTGTCTACTGACTTTGGGCAGTAATCCTCACCGAAAAGGGCCTCAACATAATCGTGGATGCTGTGACCATGGGTAGAGTGACCTACGGGAACACAATCAAGTATATCAAGGTAGGGCGCCTTCAATTGTTTCATAATATCGGGCTGACACAAAAGCTAGATGGTTGCATCGTCCAACTTCGGCAATGTCTTCAGTATCCTCATTGCCAGTGCGTGGCTTCCATTTGAACCGGTATGCACAGCTCTTAAAGCTAACCCTGGGGAGATGCTAATTGTTCTCCTTGTATCCAGATGACGAGCTTGCAGCTTCTTATCCAAAATTTGCTCTATGATATCAGTCAGATCGCAATTCCCTGGGATCGAATGGACGAAGAGTACTTGCAAGAGCCCAAAAAATGGGACGCCATTGGTGGGTTCCGCCTTAATATATCGCTTGGTTCCCTTTGTCAACTAATGTGTGACGTAGACTTGCTCCGATTCATCATCGTCCTTGGGCCAACGAGCTCCACCATCGACGTGTTGACGTTCTGCCTTGGGTGGTTCTACTACAACATTCGCACCGCCGACGATCCGGAGGCTGTAAAGCTATTCCGCACTCACTGGTTCTTGCAAGGGTAAGTCAGCTCGTTCCAGCCACGCTTCGCTCCAATTTTATCTCAGTACGCTCGAAACACATCAATTAATCGTGTTCACTTGCAGTCTTCTCACGCAAACCATAATTGTCCATCTTTTGCGAACTGCTAAAATTCCTATCATTCAAAGCCGCGCGGCTCGGGCCATGGTGGCATCCACGACTATAATCATGGCGGTTGGTTTTGTTCTCCCGTATATTCCGCTATTCCAGGCCGCCCTTCGGTTTGTCAACCCGGCAGCAACTTTTGTAGGATTCCTCGCCGCGGAGCTACTGTTGTACTGCCTTGAGGTACAACTAGTGAAAGTGATATATAAACGGATTTTCAAAACATGGCTATAATCGATTCGCTGCAAGGGGGCCCGCCAATGTGCCAAAAGCGAGCTTGGAGACAAGAAGGCAGTTATTTCAACAATAATTTGCCACTTCGCGATAGTAGTGACAAAGAAACAGGAAACATGGGGAGGTTCAACACATGTGAGGTTTCCGAGCTGTGTTCTGAGTTTGTCTTGCTATGCTGTTATGGAATGAGTTTGTTTTAGCTTGTGGACGTGCTGATCCAGCTTCAAAGTTGAAAGGGATGTAATAATTTGTTCATTAATTTGCGAAGTTTGCCTTTTCATAGCTAAACAAATTCGATAATCAAAATAGGAAGGATCAATTGGCACACATTTCCCACGAGAAAATGGGCCACAGAGATCGGCTCACCTCAGCAGTACCTTATCCAGGCCTATATTTAGAGTTGCATGTCAGAATCACGGTTTCGAAGTGAAAAAGGTAGCATTTCACACTGGGGCCCATACAGCCTAGAGATAGAGAAAGACCAGTAGTTTTCTTTGCTCGGATAATCAACCGCTTATATTTCCGAGCAGTTTAGCTCGCCGTTTCTTGAGATAGCTAACCTTCATCAAACACTCCATGGAATTAGCTTGTGGAAGTGCTTTGCCGCATCAATCTATTAATTTAGCGGTAAGCTGGCCGGTATGGAGGATCGTAAGCGAATTGGTTTCGTGTGGAGTTGGTCGTAAAAAGGGGTCACTCTAGTATTTCTTTCCATCAATCGATATTATCACCATGGAGGTTAGCTGAAAAGCTGGAAAATTGGAAGATTTTGTCGATGGGTTCTGATAGTCAAGTGTCGCCGGCTAAGCTTCAATATGGCATGCTGTAGTTTGCTCCGTACGGAATAACCAAGCGCCAGTTGTCAGCCGCAAACCCATGTTCGAATTTTTCATTTGCATGTGTTCAAAGCGCTGGACACTGTAGATATTTATATTTCTTTTCAATACTGAGGGCCGTCATGTAGCACCGTTGTGATTCCACCCCCATTGCTTCAGCAGCTGTTCCGCACGGTATTCAGTCGCCCAGCCAAGGTCACTTTCGATTTCTCGAAGTAATCGTAAAACAGTCATCCTTTCTCGATCGTCAGTAAGGTGTATACCGCTGAGGAATAGCGGCTGGACAGAGTTTATCCGTGCAGAAGCGTCTGGCCTAGACAAAGATATCCCACATATCTCAAGACAATGGAAGCGGATCTCGGCTTCCACCGACCGATGGGGATTTTCTTGGCCGGCTACTGTACCTCTGAAGGCGGTTGGTTCAGGTGGTTTGTTAACAAGTAGCAGGATTCGAGCCATGTGGTAATGCTGCATTGCTGACGCACACATGGGAATGCTATACCAAATTTCTTGGAAGGGGTACGGTTCTTCGTTCGCTTTCAACGATGAGGGCGGGTGGTAAACCCGCGCACACGGTTTGAATGCATCTGACAATCCTCGATACCATACATCGACCTCAGTTCGTAGCTGTTGCCACCGGGCCATTAAAGCAGTCTCTGTTCGCCGCGCATTGCTATCGTCGGTTGCTAGATAATTAACAATTTTTGAAGACAACCAGACTAGGGCATTTGAGATCATGTCTTCCATCATGACATCCTCTCCCTCCTGGTAGCGAACGGATGTATTACTCGGTTGAACATATCCCATGTCATTTAACAGGAGCCCTGCCTCTGTCCATAAAGTCAGATCATCTGTGTCCAATCGGCATTTACACTTGTTAATAACTAAGAACAGTTAGCTCATTTACGCTCAAAAATACCGAAAGACTAGTCTTACAAGCTGATAGATAGTCTTGCCTGGCAAAATTCCAAAACGTTGCCCTCCTAGCCTTGGAAAAGCTGGCTTTCCGTAAGGGAGGTCGAGGCGTTTCTCCAGGGGATACACATTGTTCAAGTGGCATCATCCCAACTTCTGCAATATCTAATAGTGATTTTACTCCACTCAAATGCCGATCCCATGCCGGCCCTGTTGCGTCCAAAAATTCGTACACGGACAAGATAGCTGTAGCAGCTAGAACTTCATCAGAATTCGCGCTCGACATTCGGCTGTTTGAAAACCTCCGCCGTCGCTTATAAGGATGACTCTGTTCATCTGCACTGCACAGTTCCGCTGCTTGCCACTGTCCTAAGCCTTCCGCAGTGCTAATCGGAAGACCTTGCCCGTCATGTTGTAACGCTTCCATGAGTAGTTGGATAGCTTTTTCGTAATATTTAGCTCCATGGAAATACCAGTCAACCCTGTCTGCATCTGGCCATATTTCCATGCTTGCTTGTCTGCTGCAGACACCACCAACGTTGCCCTTGGCCCCCTTGACTCTACCAAGTTGTTTTGCGGCATAGGCGCAGGCGGCGTACTTCAGAAGAGGATTCGCAACGGCCTTAATGGGTACGTGCGATGCAAAATAAGAGCCTAGATCGAAAAGGTCCATCCTGGGAAACGTTTTAGATATAGGACATAATCGCATATTAAACATGTACACTCACCACTGTCCGGGAGATTCTGAGAAATGCCGGAGTAAGAATGCAATCTCATGGTCAGTTTCGACGGGCCTTGTCTGGGAACCAATGACCCTCTGGTGAAAAGGGGACTCTCTGCGATCGCTGGGTGCGTGAAGGCTGGGATCGATTGGTGGAGAAATTGATGTAGACGGATTAAGAAGGAAATTTATGTTATTATTCGATGCGATTGACATTGAAGGGGAAGCAGGATCTGTCATGGATGACCGTATTTGATTCGGAGATGGCATGGATCCCAGCGTATGGTGAGCCTCCGTCTGAGCGAAGGGAATATTGTTATGTACAGTGGAGCTGACGGATATTTGTCCCGTAGTCGCTGGCGGTTGTTGCAAAGTGTATGTGTCTCCCGTGGCGGCCGCGGAAAGGGCCTCAAGACCATGAGTCTGAGTATCTGCTGAGCGAAGATGCTGCAGTCCATTGTTACCCCAAAGATTCGATGGTCGATTTGCAGGTGCGCTCTCGGGCCCCGCAAGAGAAGCCTCCAATTCTTCGGCATAAGGATCGGTAACGTCAATAAAAGTCACTGTTCCAACAGTCGTCTGTATTAGCTTCACGTCCCCATCTCGGATAGCCTCAAAATTAACCTATGCATACCTTGCTTTGGTATCTCCAACCACACACTATTCTCATCAAATGTATTCTTGTACGAATAAAAACCCGTCAGCCTTCCCCTGTCATCTTTATTCATCGACGCATTTTGCTGGTGTCGGAACACGATGCCCTCGCTGGGCCGACATTCCCTCGAGGCCTTCCGGCACTGAGAACACTGGGGCTTTTTTTCATCGCATTTCAGCTTGCGCGCACGACATGTTAGACTAAATAACGGCCAGATAAGTTAGTTTTGAATCTGCCGTCTTCAACGAAGTGAACCCCAACCTTCCAGTTAGCTATCTCTGGTGCAGGAGGGATTCACTCACCAGCCAGTTCTCGAGCGCATATCGGTATTGATAGTAAGAATGCACCCTGAGCCGACATCCGCAAAGAAAAAAAAGGACACCCCCTCTTTGTTGGGTTGAAGGTTGTCGCGCTACACAAGTATCAAGCTGCACCTCAAATGAAAGAAGGGCAAAATATGAGCGCTAGACTCCGGTAGCCCGACTGAGCAGAACATCACCACCGACTCAAGTCCCAGAATAATGCCAAATAATATTCCCTAGCTGAATACGTAAGATTAGACGCAAAACCCAGGGTAGAAAGTGCTAAGAACCTTGAAACACGAACTAAACGGCCCATTATCTCCACTGACTTTATGGAGAACTTGGTCGCGGTGAGGGTGGAGATGTTGAATTCGGCAAAATCGACCGTCTTGGCCAACTGCCGCCACGACCAACTTCGCAGAGGCCAGAGAGCAGCGCAGCCTACAATTGCCCCAAATATTACAGGCAAGTTAAGTATACTATTTCAGAGTGCCATATACTTTATCTCATTAATGCCTAAAGTACAACACCAAACAATCCTGCCCTTTCTACAAGGCTCAACATGAATAAGGGAAAGGAAGTCGTTCCGGAGTGGTGGGTATGGGAGAAACGGCCCGTTGGGGGGGGGGAACCCTCGGGCCTCGAGTCGTGCTAAACAAAAAAGATCAAAAGAAGAGAAGAAATTGTCCAGGCATGGACATGTGGGTGGTTGAAGAGCAAAAGAAATTCGGGGTGTGGACAATTATTAAAGACCAAAGGCCTATTCTAAAGACATATGGTGCATGTATCTTTTCGAGCAAAGTAAAAGTTCCCTAGAAACTAGGTTCGAGGCAACAAAGGGAGTATGTAAATGCAAGCCATATACCCAGAGCAAAAAGATAGTCAAGAAGACTCCAGGAAGATTGCGGTCAAAATAAGGGAGAAAAATATCAAACGCAAAAGGGGGAACTCCAGGATAGTACCGACCGAAAGCCATACATGGGTATTTGCCGCTCCCATAACGCCAATTTTCCAATGTGTATTAAGTGATGAGACGAAGAAAGGAAGACAAAAATCGTTGCAATCAGATTGTCGGAACACCAGGTGCACGTTGACGAAGGGAATCCAAGAGATACTCCGGCGGCAAACGTCGAAGATCCGGCTTCCGATCCATGCCTTGTGGAGCACGAACATATCCCTGTCGGTAACGCCGTATGCGACCAAGAATGATGCCAATGAGTACGATCAAGAATATACAACCCAGGGCAATACAGAAAGATACAAGCACGACGATTCCCCTGGAATGTGGTTTGCCTATATTAGAGAAGCGGTAAGCATGTAAACAGAAGGTCAACCTGAAAAGGATAAGACTTACGACCACCGCTAAGCTCGATCTCATTTTCGGTAAACAGCCCACTAATACTGCCCGGCTTTCCATCTGCTGTGCTAGAAAGTATAAAAGGCTCCGCGGTCGATCCATTATAGATCGCTCCAGAAACAATTCCAAATCTTGGCAATTGGAGCTGGCCCGTCAAAAGCAGTGCGAGATTATTTTCGATGAGTCGAGAATCGCTGTGATCTTCGCGAAGCGCGAGTACTTGCAAACCTTTGATGGTTGTCTGTTCGCCGAAAAGCGAACCAGCAGAATGAAATTCGCTTCCATCAAAGAAAGCTAGGAATGGAGAACCACCTCCAGATTTTCCTGCAACCCAAAATCGAGAGCCATCCTGCCTGGCAAGTCCAAGGGCTGTAATAGGGCCAGTGATTAGATTAGAGGATTTTCCATCAATTGAGGACCAAATCTGCGTTTTCGCATCATAGCTAGCAAGCGTAGTTTGATTACCACCGACGGTCATATTGCCAGCAGCGATAAGCTTCTCCTTTGACACCCATTTTAGGACAGACACAGCTCCTTGAAGGCCAGATCCGGGTCTGACCCATTGAGAGGCATCCGCTTGGAAAGCACACACGCCGGGGCATGGCAAGGAACCAGCAGAATCGAATTCACCGCCGACATAAATCTCGTTAGAGTCAGGACGTGGAGCAATAGAATTCACAATCACGTCTTCCCCTTCCAGGACACCGGGTTGATTCGCGAGAAATTCTCTCTTGGAAAGGTCATAGACAACGAGTCCTACGACGTCAGTTGAACTAACCCGACCCATCACCTTGCCTCCAAGGAAGAGGGAGTCTCGATGGATTGCAGCAGAGAAAAAGGTCGAATTAGAGTTTAGTCCTGAGCCGAGACCGGTCACCTCTTCATCATCAGAGCCGTCGATCAAAAGAACATTCTGAATGGTGGAGCCGTCTGACGCTGTCGCGCTAAAATGACCGGCTAAGACCGTAAGGTTGCGCCCTGACGCTTTATCAAAAAGACCCGTTGTTACAGCCTGAGAGCCATTGTTTTCAAGCAGAGCCCTTTTCTGTCGCGATCTTGAGTCGGACGTCTGTTGAATCTTGACTGGTAGAGGTTGCAGAGCGAGACCGCTATCCTCTCTTAGGGCAACGGCGCCATGAGACGAAATTCCACCTGATGCAAGTGTGCCTGCCAATATCGTATCGTTTCCTGGCATGATGGAGGTTGTAAGCTGTCCGGCATACGCCATCTGACTGACATCAAGCTCCTGTAGCCACTTCTTCTCCGACGGAACCCACACAGCAAATCCCCTGGCTGGAATAGCTTTGCGTCCATCCGATTCCTCAATTTGAGAGAAGTCCCCGCTTACAGCAATCGCTGACTCGATTCTGGTGGAGGAAATGTTAACCGGGAACCGCACAAGCGATTTAACGTAGCCATTCACACCCGATCCCAATGGTATCCAGGTATCATCGGAAATCGAGTATGCAGCAACGTGTTTTAGCTTTCCGTTTTCACCTCCGGCCAAGTCCGTGAAATTGCCGCCCACATACACGAGATCATCATGTGAGACTAAGGACGAGATTGCTGCGTTCAACCCATCACCAGATAAACTAGCCACGCGACCATCTGTGATAGATAGGATGTTGTGAATAGTTGAATTTGAAAAGTTCCCGCCCACAAGTAACGTATTGTCTTTGTACACTAGAGCATTGACGTCAGCTCCACGCTCCAGGTCATTCCCTGCCGTATTAATAGCAGACATGGAGAAGTTTGTATTGGATTCATTTTCGTCTGGATTGTAATCGAACAGACCATTAAGGCCGCCGGTAGAGGAAATCAACTGGAATCGAACTCGAGACGCAACTATGCTAATGCTACCTTGCCCGGTCCGCGCAGAGAGTGTCACTTTTGGTCGAAAGTCGCTACTGCCGGCATCAACGCGTCCAAAGTGTATCTGATCATACTTGTCAAAGTTATTGGTTTGATGTATGAAAGTCTGAACCGGGCTTTCATCCCGTCTAGAAAAAACTCCAGTCACATTGACGACACCTCTTGTTGCGCAGGTTCCATCTTGGATGCAGCCTGGAGTGAATATTGTAACAGAATAGTTGCCAGACTGTTTGATGTCCGGGAAAAAGGTCACAGACGTAGATGAAGCTGTTGAGGAATCGACCTGCGCACTTAGATAATCTGCCGAACTGTCAACTGAGGGACTAACTGTCCAGCTTCCTGTCTTGGTAGCTGTGGAACCAAAAGGGATATTGGCACAAGTTGGTTCGTTAAAATCGGTGACCGCATAAGAGTAGATGTCTGTGATAATAAATATGAGCATCACAAACATGTTTTGCCAGAACACATGCGAACATACCATCTTGGAACAGTTCCACACCATTCAGCCCTCCACCTTGACCATAGAACTCCGAGATTTCCAACCGGAAGCCATTCATACCAACAGTGTTAACAAAATGGAAATCACGAAATTCCTCAGCAGGATCGTCGGAAAGCGGACATCTAGCGTCACATGCCACTTGGTCTCCAGTTTCGGGGTCGGTATAAGTCATGTTTAGGATTCCAGTGTCGGGCAATGCAATAAACCGGAACATCTTGGTCCCCCGTCCTTCAAAGTGCGTGTTCCAGAGCCTCAATTTCGTGGGTTGGAACCCGAATCTCATTTGTGACTGCCAGTACCCGGGCTGCTGATCAGAGAGAAGCCAAGTGGTGCCTTCGCCGTCCTGTTTCGTAGCCCTGCAAACCACATTTCGCGGATCGCCAAACCCCGGCCTTATCGTACTCCCACCGGCGGATATCTCGGCTGTTTCGAGGTTCACCATTTGTTGGTCTTTCATGGAAGGAGTTGTTGCATTCCCTAGGCCATCGAAAGATCCTCCAAATATGATATGATCGTGGGGGCCTTTAACGATTGAAGTGACCGGCCCATTGAAGCCGCCGAAAGGGAGGTTGGAAAACCCAGAATCTCGAGACCAGGATATGGCATTTGACGAGTTTGACCTCTCAAAGTCGCCGCCCACGTAAACCTTGCCGGAATCACAAAGTAAAGCGAGAACCCGACCCGACAGCCCTGAAATAGCAGACACTGTTCCCGAACTGGGATCAAACAGTGCGAGCCCCTGCGACTCTATACCTCCCAGACTAGTAAAATTTCCTCCAACGACAAGTTTTTCCAGCGAACCGTCTCTCGATTCTAGCGGGCACAGGGCTAGTATGTCCGCATCGGCAGAAGAGATGGGAGCAAGGCCGCCATTGGGCAGGGGGGCGATCAACGACTGGGACTGGGAGCCATTGTAGACGGCAAGGACTTCGTCTCGCTGTTGTTGGTATGTGTATAGCGAGATTGCATCGAAATTTCCCGTCAGGGCAATGCGGCCTAGTGGACCAAGGTCGAGCGGTGGAGGAGGTACTTCAGTAAAGAGGGTTGCTCTAGCCAGCGGGAGGGAGAGGAGGGAGAGTAGGTGAGATAGCCCTAGGAGTGAAGCATCGCCGGCGGGAAACAGTGAGGAGATCCTCATTGTTTTGTCCGGGATGAAGGGGGGCTGGCTCAAAGTTCGACGTCGACTTTCAGTTGCAGAGCGAGAACTTAGCTTCTCTGAGCGAGCATCGAAACATGACGCGACAAAATGTAGATAAAAGAACGAATTGAACAGAACAGATAACCAGAGTGGACAGACCCTGATCCTGAGATTGTACCTAATGTGTTGAAAAAAGAGCGAAAGTTGGTGGGTAATAATGAAAGAAACGAGTGACTGGTCAGGGCCGGCAAGCTCCTGGAAATTGCAGTGAACAGGTCACCTGTTGCAAGGGGAATCCGTCTGTTGACACTGGCCGCTCGAGAAAATTACAGTATTTCATTACAGGGCTGGTGTCACAATTAGGTTGGCCGCGCCGATCCTAATTGGCCGGTCTGCGACCGTTAGCGTCCCTTCAGCCTCTCGCGCCCCAGCACGGCGGAGGGGAAAAACGATTCTACGAATCAAACCTCCCAGATCGAGCATAGCGGCGGGCCAGGCCCATGGGTTGGTTGCATTGCGAAATCCTCCCGTCCCTTTAAAAAGTGCGGCAGGCTGTGGACAGAGCGTCAGACAGGCACGCATGCTTTTCAAATGCAGGCAGAGAAGACATAGCGATATGAAAGGCATCTGCTGGACAGAGAAGACCATCATTCTATTATGGGCTTTCCTGCCCCTGGGCGTGGAGATTTTGCCCATGAGGTCGATATCTGAGATACACGTGCATCTGGGAGTTACCTGGCCCTGTATTCATGCCTGAGTGCAGTGTTGACGCCCAACCACGGCTGCTGTCACTGACTCTTCCCCCTCCCCCCGGACAGGTCACTCGGCGATTGGAATGGACAAACTTTCCAGAGCTAGAGTATCTCTATTATTCAGACAAAAGCTCAGAGCCAAATCCAGATTTGAGAATGGGCCCCAGCAATCTTCCATTTGAGGGGTTTTACGAGAGAACCTTGAACAATAGTGTCAGGAACATGAGTGTCACACATGCATCAATGTATTGACGACACTGTGAAGATCAAAATTCTAAGGTATTCTATTTATAGGCCTAATGGGTCCTCTTGCAAAAAAATTTTCTTGTGGCGATTCTATATCAAATCCACAGGTGGATGAATACATGAAAGCTGGAGTAGTTGAGAGATTCGGATGTGTCTCAGGATCATTTTACTAGGCTGCCGCAAATTTACAACTTGTCATGCTCTTTCCTACTGTTAAAAATAACAAGCTTTACAATAGCCAACCAGCTGCCTGTCTTCCCGACTCCCCAAAGCACGGACATATGGAAGTTTTTTTGCCCCTGATACCCTGTCCTCTTGTCTTTTCAATACCTGGACTGCACAACAACATCCTCACACGATGGCTGGAGAGGCACCAAGTCAATCTCCACTTCCAGGTTCTATGTGCATACATATATACAATGCGAGCGGTATGCTTCATTACCTGATAGCTGTTTGCTTATAAAAGTTTTCATACCTATATTTTGGCAATTGTGTTGTTCAGCTGCAGGCATCAAAGAAACAACTATTGCCCAGTAAACTGCTCGCAGAAATGGAGGAATAAACAACTCCAAAGTTAAAGCAGAATTTCAAGACGGGAATTTGCTGTTGAAGAGAATGTGGTTCCAAGAGCAAGCAAATTCAGCATAAGATGTGGCAAAATTTTAATCCATTATTGTAACTAACAGACCTAGAATAGTTGGATGGATTACCCTTCTCTTAGAGGAATCTCTAGCTGTGTATAATAAGCTAAGCACACAGTGTGACAAGTTCTGTTCATATTCTGGTCATCAAATTTTCTGCTTTCTCTGTAGTGTTGATAGCAGCTGTGTAGGTAATAGAAGTATAGGACAGCCTAGTGTTCACTGCCGGAGGATAGAACTGAGAGTATGGGATAGGTGGACGAAGAGACATGATTACCAAGGAATGCCCACCAGCTATGTCCGAAGAGAGCCTAGAAACACCACCTGTCAGTAGAGAGGAAAAATATACTGGCATGGGCTGTCTCCTGTTGCCGCTTTATTTCCACCATGTGCGGCATACCCATCACTCACGAAAGCCTTAATAGCCTGGTGGACAGTCTTGACAGAACTGATGGCCACAAGAGCCACATTCTCCAGCACATGCATGATTTACTACTGCACACCTGCAACACGTCCATGGTTCCAAATCAGCTTCCACTGGCTCGACAATAATACTCTTGCGAGCAGTTGCAGTGACTCCGGTAGGATTTTCGCGCGCCATTCTAGGTATCTTTTCAAGAGCTTTAGAACCTGCATGAGGTGTTTCCCAAAAATGGCCTTTACTTACATTTGCTTATTGTTCGTATTGATGGATGCGGGTATTAAACAGATACGGTGTCGCTTTGGCGGGAGTGCTGAGATCGACGACAATTCATCGGCCCCGAGGGAAAGGGCAAGCTCTATATAGCTTTTGAAAGTTTCCTTTCATTCCCCTATGTACTACCCACCTTCATTTGAAAATGAGTGATAATGTTTGTTGCAAGGATGCACTCAAGTCGTACTTTGGAGGAAGGATTGGATGGCAGGCCCTCCCATGTATCCACCAGCCACCTACGTCCCATCCGGCAATACCACACAATGTTCAGAGTGATGATTAGGCTGGAGAGCGCGTAGAAAGAAAGCTGCGATGATTGGCTTCTTTCCTTCATCCGCTACCCTCCGGGGTCACCACCAAGTCTAGAAGAAGACAGAAAGCAAATAAGCCACGCAATGCAACATGCATTATCTGTAGAAGGCTGAAGTGGGCTGTTTGATGCAGTCCATCAATATGGATTTCGGGGAATATGAACACCATGCCTAAGTACCGGTGTATAACTACGTTGTCAACACCGGTATCAGGTACAACGCACAATGTCCTGTCACACATGGACGACAAGTGCGCCGGCTTCGCAAACTGTTTATTGTGAAAGAACTGGATTGTCTTTAAGTGTCCGAACTCAGCTTCGACCAAAGGCGCAAATAAAATTGGGGTGAGGTATCAAACAACTCGAGACATAGAGCAACACGAGAAGCAGGGAGACCAAAAGAGAAACACCTTCTGAGCTTGCTGCATCTTCCGTGGTGGCACATGCCAAAGTCTGGTATATGATAGGGCGCATTCACTGCATCACCAACTGATAGGAGTCACAAATTTACTACCCAATGGGGGCAATCGAAGATACTAAAGTGATTGCAAGGCATGGGCGCTCTTCCGTCAGCCGGTTCAATGTTGAATTCTGCCGTGCTCCAAGCACCAAAAATTGCTTCCCTGTTGATTGACAAAAAGGCTGAATAGCTTGACGTTTGCGCTGTTTGCGTCCCAATTGAAACTAAGCTGAGCTCACTTCGACCATTCTGGGTTTAGCGTAAACTCTGATAAAGTGCTTTTCGACGCGACGGGAAGAGCTATCATCGCGACAAGCAGTAGAGCATTAGGAGCGCATGCATAACTCAGAAATTTGAACCTTCACCCCTATTGCCTTCTTCCTTATCACGCAAGGTCTAGACCTACAACAGCATACCCGCGCAACTCATTAAGTTCCTCAGGTATTGCCAGCTGTCAATCTCTCCGTCATGTATGCTAGCCTGTCAACGAACTGGGAACCTGGAAATATCTACTGACAAACCCAGGGAGAGCTTTGAAAATATCTACCTAGACCTTTCCAAGCAACCAGGCAAATGCAAACTTGCTGAAAGTGGCCTGGGTTGGAAACCCTCCGGTGGAGGAGATACATTCACGCTCGACAAGAGCAATATCGGGGCCGCTCAATGGAGCCGTGCGGCAAAGGGGTACGAACTGAAGATCTTACCTCGCGCCGGTGGAGTCATTCAACTGGATGGTTTTGATCAAGAAGTATGTGACCTTATATCTGATTTCACCTTTTCCATAGCTAAGTCGTTGCTCTCTTTTAGGACTTCGAACGGACGAGCAAGGCATTTAAGCTCTGGTACGGCATCAATCTCGAGAACCGGGAGCACGCCCTCAGAGGATGGAATTGGGGCAAAGCAGACTTCGGAAAAGCGGAATTGTCTTTCAATGTTCAAAACAGACCCGCATTCGAAATTCCCTATTCAGAGATCACAAACACGAATTTAGCGGGAAGAAATGAAGTGGCGGTGGAGTTTTCACTTTCAACTGATAACGGTAGTCACGGAGTCAACGGACAGCCCGAACGTACTAAGAATTACGGTAAAAAGGCCGGTGCTGGCAAGGATGAACTCGTTGAAATGAGATTCTATATCCCTGGTACTGCTGTGAAGAAGGACCAGGCGGACGGAGATGACAAGAGCGTGGATGGAGAAGAACCCGAGGAACTGAATGCCGCCAACCTTTTTTACGAAACGTTAATGGAAAAGGCAGAGATTGGCGAAGTTGCCGGAGATACATTTGCCACATTTCCAGACGTGCTACATCTTACTCCTAGGTTTGGATTCTACGACTCCTTTGAATATGCCTGGTCATTTAGCTTACAACTATCAGAGGACGATTCGATATCGACATGTATGAAAACTCGCTTCGGCTTCGCGGCAAGACGTACGATTATAAAATTCAGTACCAGTCAATTAAGAAATTTTTCTTGTTGCCCAAGAATGATGACACACACACGTTGATCACTATAGGATTAGACCCGCCCTTACGACAGGGACAAACCCGATATCCGTTCCTTGTGATGCAACTGAAGTTGGACGATGAATACAATCTCGACTTAAACATGACTGAGTATATCACTCCCCTTTTTGCTCTTTGATGCTGTAAACAGACTAACTTTGAAAAGTGAACTACTCCAAACTCGGTACAAGGATAAACTCCAGGCTCACTACGAGGAACCAATTCATCAGGTGATAACAAAGGTTTTCCGTGGCCTCTCCGGAAAGAAAGTGATCATGCCATCCAAAGATTTTACCAGGTCAGCTATAACTATGTACCGCTATGGCCATTTTTCAGATCCCTCCGCACCAATGGGCCGACTAAGGACAAGAAATACTAACAGTAATTCCAGTCATCATAATCACCGAGGAATCAAGTGCTCCATCAAGGCCAACGAAGGGTTGCTGTTCTGCCTTGACAAGAGTTTTATGTTCGTTCCAAAGCCAGCAACATACGTCCAAATCGAAAACATATCCGTTATCACTATGTCTCGTGTTGGCGGCGCTGTCTCAGCTAGTCGAACGTTCGATATAACCATGACCCTCAAAGGTGGAGGCGAGCATCAATTCAGCAATATCAACCGGTTTGTCCTTTGTCCTTTAACAATCCACAGCACATAAGTCTAACAATCAGACAGAGAGGAGCAACAGCCATTGGAGTTATTCTTTAAAGCCAAAAACATTCGATTTAAAAATGAGATGGCCGAAGATGTAAGTGTTTTTTAGCAACCATAACCCCTTCAAGCTAGGCAATGATCACGTGTCTAGATTTCCGTCAACGACGGTTGAATGTGAACGTGTACTAACTTGGGTTGCTTGGCTAGACATCCGCGCTCATTGCCGCAGCTCTCGACAACGATGAACTTATGGGTTCCAGCGACGAGGAAGTCGATGGAGGGCACCGCGGATCAGCAGATGAAGACGAAGAATCTGTTGACGAAGACTTCCAAGCCGAGTCAGAATCCGACGTCGCTGAAGAATATGATTCCGCTCACGAGAGTAGTGGTAGCGGCAGTGGGAGCGACAGCGACGCCGAAATGGACGATGCCGAAGATGAGGGTCTCGATGAAGACCTCGATGAGCAAGAAGAAGAGCGGCCAAAAAAGAAGAGCAAGATTGACAAGTGATCACAAGTGGTTTTGGTTTGAGAAATGCAGTTATTTAATCACTACAGATATTCGAAATAATCGCACGTTGTCGCTATCTTGGGACTGGGCATCTGGGCTATTACTTCCTTCTTTGTGGATCTTATCTTGTGATATTAGAAAAGTGCTGGCCAGGTTTGGATGGAGGGACATTCGTTTGTTCAAGTTTCTTGTATCGCGCTTGTGGCCCATCCGGAGGACAGATTGTACAGCAGTATGAGGTAACTATGCATGGATGGTATGCGCCTCATTAACTGCACTGTACGGAATACCCTATCTAGTTACCAGTGCATAATACTTGTCACATCACCTCCAGCAAAATGTGTGATTTGCCCAACTTTTTGCCCTCAACTTGTCTCTTGGGGAGTCTGAGGCCCAATGTGGGTGGCTTCCGCCTCGCACGTGACATCGGAGATTCCATTTTTAGCGTAGCGCCCGAAACCGTCAAACGCGTAGGCTCAAAAGCTTGGAAACAGGCACTGCCGCGAGCGAACGGATGATTGTTCAATTGGTTTGGTGCCATTTTGCTTCGTTCTACTCTGTACTTACAACTTAACATCTCCCTGTCTTCATTCATGTTCTTTTTTTAGCCCTGTGTTTGTGACCATGCCAGCTGAGGCAAACCACTAGCTAAACACCCATCCCTCACAAACCTCACCCCGACCTATTCCTAACCCCGAGCACCCAGCTGGAGCCACTCCTCGACCGCTTTACTCCGTGCATAACGCGCATTTCGCTATTTTAGAGCTATTGGAACCATTTGCCGACTCCTGTACACCTATCTTCGCGCTAGTTCAAATCCTTGTGAAGAATCCCTTTACCATGGCCACCACATACAGCAAAAAGACAAACTCCGATCTCATCGAGATGCTCAAGGCGCGAGGACTCCCTCACACCGGAAAGAAAGCTGACATGGTCGCGCGACTCGTCGAAGCAGATAAAGCTGAAGCAGAGAAGGCCAGTCTTGCCCCCGTCCCTGCTACAGCACCCGCGCCTGCAGCACAGTCAGCCAAAGCCGATGCCGCCGACGATGTTATCGATTGGGATGACGACACGACTCCGATAGAGCCAGTGTCAGCGCAACCTACGACTTCAGCCGCGAACGCTGCCACGGCTGCTAATGGGGACGACGCTGAGACAGCTGCGGCAGGCGGAAAGGGTGCGGCTACGAGCGCGACCGCAGTGCCGAATCAGAAAGTTGATATTGATCCGTCGACAACGCATGACCTGACCGTCACGAAACCGGAGGAAAAGAAAGCTGATCAGAAGGAAGTTGCTGCGGAAACCGAGGCTGATAAGGGAGGTGCCCAGGAAACAGCTGCGGGAGAACAGGACGAAGCTGAAAAGAAGGCCGCAGAGAATTATAGCATGGGTCTTGCTACTACAAACCTCGATGCAGAGCTTGAGAAGCGTAGAAAAAGAGCCGAGAAGTTTGGCATTGCTGATGACTCGAGCACCAAAGAGGCTCAGAAGGCCATGGAGAGAGCGAAGAGGTTTGGGACCGCGAATGATGCATCGTCGGGTGTTAAAGGACTGGATGAAGCACTGCCAGAGCGCTCAAGAAAGAGAGGCCGTGGCGATGATGGCGATGGCTATCACCGCGGCGGAAAGCGCAGGAACTTTTCAGGACGCGGAAGAGGACGTGGTGGGTTCGATGGTCGGCGCCGTCAGAATGGTGGTTCGAACACCGGCAAAGCGAGTACTTTGAGCGAACAAGATCGTGTTGCGATGGAGAGGAGAAAGGCTCGTTTCGGATAAATCGGTTCCATATCTGTCTTACTACATGTTTCAATATTTCCAGCCCAAGCCTATTTTCGTTCTCAACATTTACTCCAACGTTTCGTGTTTTATGCGCCGATTTGTGCTTCTATATGCTATGGTTTGCTGGCACTGGAGTTTATTGGAATTCAATTTATGTGGGGGAAAGGGTTGATCATCTAGTCAATGGAGAACTTCGACCTGATTGTCCAGCCGGATCGCCTTCTTATGGTCTTTAACTCGTGCATTCGTATATCTTTTACCTCCACTAAATTGGAGAGAATACGTTCGATGGGGATTGATGAATCAAAAATAAAACAGCTCACTTTACTTTACTGGATTTTCGCGGGATATGTATAGAATAGGAGTTCCAGGAGCACTCGTATCCACTACTGAATCATAACTATTAGCTTTGACCAACATAGATAGAAATTGCCTTGAGGGCAGGCCATCTTAGGAGAGCATTTCTAATGAGAAATCCGGATTCCAAAATATATCCACACGCCCCTGAAGATCCCGTCATGTTACACATGCGGCTTTACTGCATCTCCATGAGTTCGATTCGAAATCACACCCTGTTTGTCGTACCGTAGCACATGCCAGCTTGCCAGGCTTTCTGAAGGCATCGAACAACGGATGCAAACAATTTCTAGAGAGAAATGTAGTTTCAAGTTGCACATGTGCTATCGTCCATGCCGAATTGGAAGAAAGTGAGAAGCTGACGGGTAGTAAAAGCCACCTCTCCAGGCATCGCCAGCGTCGAGCCTGCCCGCAACGAGCTGGCCGCTGCTCCGTCTTTGTCATACCAGATAGATCCATATCCTATCTTGAGACGTCCGCAGGAGATTGTATGAAGATCTCAAATCTAGTCGATCGTGCTCCGACGGAAATACCGAAGCCCTGGGTATGGCGCGATTCAGGTCAGCTGGTTTTTGTATCACAGGCCAATGCCGTTTCTGCTGTTAAGAGAAGAGCTTCAGATAATTCACACGAAGCATGCCTTAACCCTGTTTATGTCGTTGTGCAGATCCAGGGCAGCTGAGACGTGCAGAATTGATGTGCTGTTCCTGCGATAAGGCTGCCTAGGCTGAAGGCAGCTCAGTCGCCATCATCAACACATATGCACTCCACATGAGCTTATCTATACACAACATGTCTATGAGGGGAGTAAGGTCCAGCACAGAGTAGACGATAGTTTGTATTTTCCTCATTAACTGGGCAGAAAGTGTATCTGGTTAGTTAGTTAAATGACAAACAAAAATCATCGTCGTCAATGTTCAGGCAGTTAAGCTTTCACACCGAAAGAAGGGGGAAAATAAAAAATAAGAAGTGGATAAACATAATAAATTGCTTTTAATGTTAAGGAATCTCCAAGTTGGTTTGACAAAGCATCTCGGCTCACCAGTTCTGGTGACTCACATATACAGAGTACAGTCCATCAAATAACGGTGGCTTTCAACTTTCAAGCGATTCCTTGCATAGAATCGAAGCTCTGAAATTTGCCACATACGAAAACCATCACCCTTGTACAGAGTACGGAGTTCATATAAATCACAAACGCCTTGGCCAAAGGGTTCTGCGTTCCACCCTATATCTACGAATCACTGCTTTTTTCTCCTCTTCTGGAGTCTGAGTGGTTGAGACAAGATCCATTTGCATACTTACGGGCGCCCCACTATGGGCCTTTTGCAGTCCTCCTCTAAGTCTGTCACGCCAGCTTGAATATTGTTCGTGATGCCCCAAGTTTCCCGTGCTCGATTTGTAATGCTGTATGTCAACATTTCGGGCGTTCCATGGTTAACTTCGACGGGGCGGCACGATGCGGAGAATTTCGTCCAAGTTAGGTTTAACTATAGACTGAAGAGTGGCCAGACTTCGGGCGTGCAGCTTTGTCAAAGTCTAGAGGATTGAGCCGAAGCACCTTTGGTCGCGAAGTTCGTTCTTTGGCAAGCGGGTTCTAACCTATTGAAATGCCGAGTTTGAGGTGAGAGGACAAAAATCTGGAATGAGGGCAGTACGGCAAGTTTGATGCGATGTGATCGCCACTCACATGACTTTCCAACGTCGGCGGTGTGTCGTTGGAAGTGACAGTTGGACGTCACCTCTCCCGCTGTATGGTTTGATCCCTAATTTTCCAGAGCCGCGGGCATTGGGTGAAAGTGGTGGGCACCCTTGCTCAACCTCAAAGCCAGCGACCAATCCTGAGTCCGATGCTGGACGGCGGCAAACACAAGGCCCGGAGCCCTTTCCACGCTGCCGCTAATCGAGGGCCCAGCCCTCGCATTGAGGGCAGATTTTCAGCTCGCTCCGTTGAGCAACCTGCAGGCCCTACTCACCCACTCAAAAGACTCAAAGCACCATAGGTCTACAGGACTGGGTCCTCCCCTGAAGATTTTCTCGTGACTCGGACTCAGAAACGGCAACTCATTCCCCTGCCGAATCCTTACGGCTCAAAGGCCGTTGACTAACCTGTTAGCGGCACCAATCCCCTAGTCCCTCATACTAACCATCGGTATACATCTACGAATGATTCGAGCAGTCCTCAGATCCTCCAGTCATTGCCTGTTCCTCTCCGTCCACTGAGAGCGCAGTCAAAGGCGCGACGGACGGGACCGATACCCACCCAATGCGTACCCCTTTAGCAAGCCGAGTCCGGAGAGACTCTAAAAAGAGGGCAAATGGCACTTGATTACTTCTTCATTCTACGTGCTCCCACTGTTGCCCGGCACTGCACGAGGGATATCTACGCTGAGAATCTCTCGGGCTGCATGAGAAGGCCGTTGACGTGGCCGTATCGCTTTCTTCCGACAGATGCTAACGCCAGATAACCACCGCCACGGCCGGGTTTAGCCACACGCTCTCTGCCCAGCGCCCCGCCGTGTGGCGAAGTTCGCCTGTGCAAGCAGGTCACCGTCTGCAGCAGGCGGATTGCTTCTACGAATTTCGCACTTTTTCTTTTACTGTGCCGCAAGTTTGCTGGTTTTCTATGCTTTCTTTGACTACATATCCGTTTCACACCCCCTCTTTTTTTGGTCTTTTTTATTATTGTTGAGGGTTGGCTTTCTGGTGTTGATCATCTTACTTCGAGAAGTTTACTATGTGACTCTGTTCAACCGTGCAGCTCCCCTCCAGCTTGCCTCCTGTCTCCATTTGCACATATCCGTTTGTATTCTTTTCCTGGCTGGTTACACAGGCTTATTTTATATTTAAAAAGAAAAGGGATTGATTTTTTTTTCTTTAAAAAAAAAAAAAAAAAAAAAAAAATTGTCTAGGGTAAGTGAGCAGGAGAAACGGGGCACAATTTCCGAAACCCTCATGATGAGCTCACACCTGTTTTGATTCCCTAGCCGGATGTCCCCTTTAGCCGGTCCTTTACTCTTCTGTCGTGATGTTTTCGAGTCCTTTTAATACTCTTGCTTCTCAAAAAGCCCTGAACGCAGAAAGCTCGCCGATGTCCTCGGAAAAGTTCACACCATGTCCTCCCGCATCTCCAGTCGAGTGGGCGCACATCCTGCGGCGGAGACCAAGCCGTCTTTTTCAATCTCGCGGCTTTCGAGAATACCAACCGCATCTAATACTGGCACCGCAGCCCCGAGAACGCAGATTCCCAAAGCCGTGCCTTTAAACTCCAAGTGCGGGAGGGGTGTTAGTGCATCAGAAAGCGCAGAGTCCGGGCTTAATGCGCAATCTGTTGACCCGAAAATGCCTACCGGCCCGCCTCATACTTTAGTCCTAGATGTTCCGCCGCTACCGCGCACAGCATATTCATCATCAAATAACAAGGTGACGGTGCAATCTCAATTGGCTTCTCCGGCTTTGACTTCGTCGGTATCTCAGAAACCAACCCTATCAAGAAAGCCTCCGTCGATTGAACGGTATGCCGAGCGGAGTAAGTCACGATTGCCTTCTCTGAAACGTTTCCCGGGTATCGAAAAAGGAAATACAGAGGGATTTTCGAAATCATCGACCAAGACACACATACAACAAGCACAAACGCAACCCCCGGTAACACCTGTTGAAACCCGAATCGATACCAATCCTCCTGTTATTCCTGAGTTTTCCGGTCTTTCAACGAGTATAGGGCCTTTACACCTTCCCCCTCCAACCCCCAACTTCACTAGCAGCCCTTCAACGAGATGTTCAGACTCACCGGGGCCTTGGAGTAGCAGGACATCCACCCCCACGTCATTATCCTCCTACTCACCTGGACTCACCCACCCCTCCAAGATTGGATCTCGTCTAAGACAACCCAGTCCATCGCTATTCCGTGTCCATCCCACTCCTTATCATGTGTCTGGCGCATCTTATCCGGGCGCGACGAAAGATGCCCCCTCTTTTCCAAAATCCCCTCAACGAGCCCAAACGGAACCAGCTCAAATAACAGGGTCGAAACTCCCAACAAAACACCATCTTCAACCGGCAAATAAGGTGAAAACTGAAGCACTGCGTTGCCCTTCGCCATCTCCGACGCCCGCCTCTAAGGGACCGGTACCGAAACCATATAGTAAGGTGGATGTTGCAACCTATAGACAAGAGAATATGAACGCTGAAGCGCGGAATAAATGTCTTCAGAAGGTTAGCAAAGTCGAGGACGTTCGTATACCTCCATCCAAACCTCCAGCGAGACCTACACGCACAGGTACCGAGGGCCTAGGACTCCAATCCTCTCCAGTTATTCACAGCAACCTTTCCTCATCGAAGCTGGCTGGACACAAGCGCCAAGATTCTGCGGAGGGCGGTTTTCGATTTAAAGCAGTAGGAAACGCAGTGTCTCGAGATATGTCAACCGACTCCTTCCAACCAAAAACCTCGTCTCGGATCCCCCACCTTTCTCCTTCACCTAATACATTTGATAGGACTGATTCTCGTTCCCCTACTCCTAGGCATTCGAGCCGCTCGGTCTCAAGAAAAAGGTCAGTCCTTGTCAAAGAGCCCAAGGAAAAGGACGTCAAAGCGGAGGCCACTGATAGTGGAGGGAGACGTTTTGGTTTCTTTTCAAAGAAGTCGAGGGCGTCCCCTGAGCCATCTCGGTTAGAACAGGCGGACAGGCAAGCCCGCAGGGGACCTGCCGCTGGTACTGGACACGAGGGGTATGGGAGATATGCTCAGCGTGGACGAAGGACCAGCATAGGAAGCAATGCGAGTCGCGCCGGTTCTACAAGCACCAATGGCTCCTTGGGTATCGCCAGTCGAACCCATGCTGATATTGACGACTTCCTGTTGGATCGCTTGGAACCGGTAATAATCACAGGTGGTGGAATGGACTGTGCGAACTTGACTCGAACCCGCAGTGAACAGAGCATTGGTGTATTAAGTGTCGCGTCAACTGCAAGTTCAAGCACACCTCGACAATCTACGAAGTTTTATGGTCAGTTTCCAGAGTCTCTCCTTTCCTCGACCGGACGGTTGGTCCATTCCCCGGAGCCCATGAGTGCTATATCGACCACATCTCTTTCTACGGCGCAAGGTGACTATAATTCGAAGTCGACCACCGAAAAACGCCTCTCATTTCGCAAACGTAGCTTTTTCAGTAAGGGTAATGCTAATGAGCCTCTATCCATTCCTCCGGAAGTTTCGAGGTTAGCACCACCCATTGACGTTCCCAACGCTCATCGCTCGTCGATGTCACAACCTGATGTATCTTCTTTGGCAAAAGAAGACGAAGGGAAGGACATCAAGGTGCTGAAGAAACTGCAAAAGCCTGGAAAGTGGAATTTTTTCCAGAGAAGCCATCAGCTACGCCGAAAGGACCATTTTACTGAAACCGATCTTGCATCTATTACAAAACTTCCAGTGTCGGTGTCCAATATTCCCGCTTCACGGACAGTGCCCCATTATGCCCTTCTGGATAGTGACTCAGTCGAATCAGATGCTCTTGAGGATATTCTTAACCATATAGAAGAATCTCCGCAATCAGAGGAGGAATTTCATAATATTTCAGCTAAAATGGATCTCAAAAGGCAACAATCGGTCTTACTTCCTGCACCGCCTGTCGGTCTGACCGAATATACATCTGATAGACGTCCATCATCGCCCAGGGTATTTTTTGACAAGGATGTATCCACTGTTATGCCAGAAACAATGCCCAAATCGAGTGGGTCAACACGGCTCAAATCGGTGGGCAGAATACCTGCAGTGATACCTAGAGGAAACAGGCAACATAAGCCTCCGCCGCAGTCGTTTTCTCGTCCGTTTAGTCGAGCCGATATGCCGTCGATCGCAGCAAGGTCAGATGTCAAGCCTAGTACGCCTCATCACAATATGTCATTCTCTTCTATGCCAGCCCCAGTTCCACAGCCAGCAGTGTGTGAAACACTAGACACTTCCAAGTTCTCTTCTCTTCCCGGCATCGGATATTCACAGGGCTTACCTACCACCTACCCTGAATTTTTGGTTCTCTCCCCGAGAAAAAATTCTGAAATTTCCGAAACTAGTACCGAAAGCCTCAAAAGCCTCAAGGCCATAACCGCCATCATGCCTATCCCGGGATCTAAGTTAACAGAAGATGAGGTCTGGGACGAATATGACGATTTCATCGATAAAGTTCTGATTTCTCCTCCGCAAAATGTGAAAGGCATTTATTCCCCTCGAAATTCTTTCAGGATGGCCACACGAGCGAGTAAAGCACTTCAGGCAGGCTTGAACGCGACCACAATGAATTCGAGGTTGTCATGTCAGTCAGACTGTTCTTCAGCAAGCACACAAACCTCTGTGCACCTAAGCCGCTCCATGATACTCTCGGGATTGCACTCGTCCTCCATTGCTCCGTCCACCCCTGTTTCTCTCGGCGAATTGTATTCTGGCTATGCCGAAAGCGATAAGAGTGTCATTGATTCGGCAATACTGGATGTTCCACCTCTCGGAGCTTCCAAATGTGTTCAAGCCTCGGGGGGCGATAAAGCGCAAACAAACGAGCTTGGTCGTCGGAAGAACGCTGCTCTCCTAGATCTCGCGGAGCGTGAACGACTTGGTGCTCTTGCACAAGCAAACTTGCGTTCGGGATCCTTGATGACTAGTCGCTGGTTATCATTTGGTCGGGTGCTTTTCAGTCCTGCACAGAATCACGTCCGGACTGAGGACCAGTCTCGCATCCTTGTCATTGATGGCCTTGGTAACGATGATTGGTCTTTTTACTGTTCCTTAACTTACCCCAAAGCCACGGTTTACAATCTTAGTGTTCTGCCTTGTGGTCCAACCAGCAGCAATCCCGCTGCTTGGGATCCTCCGACCAACCATCGCTCTGTTCACCACGCCAATTTTGAAAATCCGTTCCCTTTTCCTAAAGGATTTTTCACTGTTGCAATATTGCGCTTTCCGGCGGCGTGCTCGGAAGTTGGGTTGAAAAATGCAATTTTTGAGTGCAAGCGCGTTCTTCGCACTGGTGGTTACTTAGAGATGAGCATCCTAGACCTGGACATGGTCAATATGGGAAGTCGAACTCGAAAGGCAGTCCGAAATCTTAAGGAGCGTATGTTTTCCGCCGATTCTAGCGTCAGTCTCAAGCTAGCTAGTGACAATATTCAGCGGCTGCTTGGAAAACGAGGATTTCAGAACCTCAACCGTTGCACAGTTGTGGTTCCTGTTGCAGGTACAATAATGAAATCCTCGGATACATCGAATTCTAGTCGCTCAACAGCTCCTAGCAGCATGGATACACCTAACGACTCGCTTCCGCCTCGTTCAGCGTCTACAATATCGGAAAGTCAAAGCCGTATAAGACCTCCTTCAGACGATGTCAATGTCTCTCTTGGCGATCTTCTATCAGATCCATCGCCATCGGCTGCAAATGATGAAGATATCGCCAAGATGGTTGCCAAAGTTGGACGCTGGTGGTACACTCGCTGTTATGAGACGTCTGTACTGCCAGAGGGAAATCTCGATGGCAGCATTTGGGCAGATCATCGGCTTTTGCGTGAGTGTCAAAGACGTGGCACTGGATTCAAGTTATTGATTGCCTATGCCCAAAAGCCGAGCGAAGTGACACGACGGACAGTGAGTGTGTAAAACTGACCAGCATCATTCTCTTTCATACGGAGTACTGGTTAAATGGGCTTTCATGCCGTATTACGATTTTCTACGACGTTTATGATTTGCATGACGTGGACGACGAAAGATTAACACCAGAATTTTCTTTATATAACGCCTTCTACTTGGGTCTTATGAATTAAGACTATATCGAGTAGCTAGATTGCACGTGCCATAGTGCCTGTGTTAGATACCACGGTTTTACTGTTGCTTTTTACCATGTTCCTCTTTTCCCTTTTTGTTTCTCTTCCCAAGGCTGGTCCGTTCAATTTGAAATAATTCTTCTCTTTTTTTAACGTGCATCTTATCGTGTTAGCTATGATGGATTGGACTGGATTTGTTCTTTTTAGCATATGGGCGGCAAGCGGTTGAAATTTGGATTGTATCCTAGTTGGTTTCTCTTGTTCTTGTTGTACTTTTATCTTCCTTGGGGGTATAGCTGTACTCGGAGGGCTCTCCAAATCGCTAACTGTCAGAGTGCTATGTATGTTACTCGGCCCTACGCCGCATGATTTCGCTTCAGCGTATGCTTCCTGGTTGTTGGCAATAAACCAAGAATTTAGTTAATGCATAATTATTCTTTGGATTTATTCTCTCCTTGAGACTGGTGACCAGGTTACAAGTGGATCATTTACTATCCCCAGATACTCCAGATGCAGTTTTCTATTCATATCCGAGGAACTTTTCTCCGGGGCGCCCCTTTTCGCTTAACTTCTCGCCAGTGGTTTCATAAGTTAATTAACAGTTATTAATAGATGGCACTAACTAGTTACAGAGTAAAGTAAGTTAACCACTTAACTAACAAGTTAATTGATGACCCTGGCTGGACCCCTGAAGGAACTTGTTAATTGATGTTAATTATGGATAATTAATTTCGAAAGCGGAAACTTAACTGCCCCACATGAACCTTAATATGCCCACTAAAGCCAGGCAAAGAAGCTGTGTGGAAAAGTAAAACTATCTCCCTGGTCAAACATGCAGGGAGTGGCATAATGCTCGTGATTTGCTCTGATTGAGCTTTTCAGGGAACAAGGGATAATTCCGGAGCTCGCAATATTGTGTAGAAAACAAGAACTCAATGATGTTGAGAGAATAAGGAACGCGGGTGAAAGAGCAAGCTAAACTTTTGTGTCTTCGAGTAACTACTGCCTGATGGCAGGTAAAGGTCATGATCCATGTATTTCCAAAACATGCAGATATGTATGTACAAAGAAACCCAAGTATAAACCTCGAAACTATGTACCGAGTAGTAATTTCGCATTCTTAATCCCTCATAAAGAAATCAAACCTCCTAGTCTATTGTATTCCGTAAAGTTGCGATTGGCTAAAAGGCCTCACCCATACATCCAATATTGTGCGAGGTATTTGACTTCGAAACGGCCAGGCATATTCCTGCAAGTGGCGGGTGCTTTTCCTGACGTAGTTTTCACACGATAGACACTCTAGCATAACGTTAGTAAAGTGAATGTTGAGAAGCAGCCAGACAAATAAGCATCAACAGAAATTGTCTAGTTTTTTCTTTTCCTTTCCTTGAACGTACCTCAATCCCAGATCCATCCACGCGATCGAGCTTTAGCCAGTCGACATCAATGTTCCGTGGAGCAGGAACTTTCGCAGCCACTGAAACATAAGCGTAGTCCTGCTGGCCAACTTGGCGTAGATCGAACATGGGAACACTACCAGCAAAGTAGTGATGGCCCATCAGATCAATGTTGAGGTATTTGGATATCATATGATTGAGAATTTTCGTAGGAAGCCTGACGGCCAGACGTGCAAACATATCCAACAACAGCGAGTGCTTTGTAACGAGACAGGAAGCATCGTAAAGCGTAGCGACCGCGCCAACCAGTGATGGTGTCTCGAGATTTTCGCAAGTATAGTTCTGGGTCCCGACGCCGAGAGTTATGTATTTGAGCTCCAGTTTGGAGGCGGGGACGGGTAGTTCTGAGCCATTGCCGGTATCGGGCAACACTGTTTTGAATATATTGCAGCCCGAAGCTTGACCCTGGCGGCGGATGCTGTTTAAAACATTTCCGGCAGCTGATGCGGACATGGATAATCCGGAGTCGATTGGGGCGCACGCGACACCCAAGATGAGAAGCGAGTAAGGTAGGAGGCTAGAAAGATACATTGTGATTGAACTTGCTTGGTGAAAGTAAAAGTGACAAGAGGTACAAATTGTAGAACGTGATGGTAGATGAGGAAAAGAGGACGGGGCCTTGCGGATTAAGATAAAAGTCTGGCACGACTTCTCTCCCTGAAGTCAATCATTCTGAGGGCATAGCTCCGGACTGCTTGCAAGAATATATAACGGTTGGTTTTGGCATAGGAATTTGCCCAGACCTGCCTCGTCAAGACCTTCGAGATTCGGTGCATCGGTAGGGTCTTCTCTGTCCTGGTTCGTCAAGGGAGCGATTCTAAATTCAACCACAGTATGTGGAGCGATAAGAAAAGAAATCATAATAATAGAGTCTTTTTTTTTCCTGCCAGCACTAATTCAACTTGCAGAATCCACTAGCAGGGGTAACTATATTTTAGCATGGGTGCGATATCCTTGCCTCCTGTTGGGCGGCTAGAGAGACCACCAGATAAAATTGGCCACTCCACGAAATGCGGCGCTTAACGCCTTTTATTGAAGGATGAGTTGTCGAGTGTGAGGAGAGTCTCAATGAAATCAGCCAGGGCTCACTGATGACTTCACCTGACAACAGAACCAGGGAGCTGAGTCCGAGGCCAATAGTTCATCCCCGGAGTAGACATGTCAAAAACGCCTGGCTCCAACAGGATTGTTAACATAATGGCTCAATTATTAGGAGCTAATCTTGATAACAAGGAAATAATGGGTGCATCAACAGTGAACCAACAATATTGAACCTTGAGGATCTCCATTGCAGGGAAAATCCACGGCAGCCATGCCATTCTCGAAACCTTCTCTTGCTGGCAGTGATTGTCGACTCCAGCCTTGTGTAGCTTCGGACAGATCCCAACTTATCGGTGCACGCGATGGTTGATTGTCTGATTGGATGCGCCATCTCATTGAGGACCCTTATTGGTCCAGTAGCTGGCTGTGCAGAAGGAGACTGTTCAAATAACTATGCAGCGGTGATGGAGGTTTGAGAGAAGATATCTCTCAATTTTTTCTGCCTCACCGACGGAAACTTTCGAGTGCCGAGTGTCACAGAGAGACTCTGAGACCAGAGCTACTCCGGCAGTTTGTTGACTAGTTAGTTAGCCCCATAGTTAAACCCTCTCCCTCGTTATATCCACGGCAAGTTTAGACGTTGCCAACTGAAAGCTGTCTGTGTATGGAGTACGGAGTATGGAGTACGGAAATTGTTTATTCGGCACGAATTATTCGGTTACTCGTACTGTAGTGAAAGAATTGTGTATTCCGCACGTTTGCAATCGTATTCCTTGAGTCTGCCTCCTCTTGAGAAATTCGAACAACACTCCCGAAGAAACACGATTGCGACGCCGCACACTGGCAACTCTCCTGCAGGCGGACGGGCACCGCCCGACGCCCCTTATCGCGGATCAGTTATTTTCCGTCGGGAACCGGAGCCACAAACTTCCGGTGCGACCTCTTCACGTGATAAAGAGGCTGGTTGATTAATAAGCAACCCATAAACTTTCCCCGTTGAACGTCAATCTCGAAATGCGACAAGCTGACGGATGCATTCAGCCTTTCATCTATCGAACATCAAGACAGAAAAGGGTACAGGCCAGCTTCCCATTGCCTGTAACGGATACTCTTTCTCATCTATGCCACCCACCTTTCTTTTGCCCTCGGTGAGCCCCAAAATACCCAGTCGCCACCATGTCAGACGGTACGCCTAATCAACCCATGGCCCCTTGCACCGCGCCACTGACATTGTCGCGTCTAGCTGAATTTGATGCCATCAAACGGCTGCAGGCTGAGCGCAATTCTGCAGCCGCGGCAAAGAAAGGTTCAAAGACTTTTGATCCGTCCAACCAGCGGACTGACTTTTCCACCAAGGCTTCTCTGACCGAATCCTTCGACACCACCCTCTATGATCGAAACGGAGCCGATAAATATGCCGGTTATAACACCTCTATCGCCGTTGATGGTGAGGATGATGAAATGCCAGATGCAGATGCCGACCAGAGCCGTAGGCTTATCGGTCAGTATACCGCAAGCAAAGACCAGCTGAATGAGTTCGCAAGTGGGAAGGGTGTTGAAGAAGAAGATATTCTATTGGGCCGTGAGAAGTCCGCCAGGATATCCGAGCGAGAGACTGAATATCAGAAACGACGCTTTAATCGTGCTCTCACTCCAACGCGGGCCGACCCATTTGCGGAAAATGCCAATGCAAATGTTGAGGCAGAAGGCCATACTTATCGCGACATCATGGCACTTCGAGAACTCGAGAAGGAAGAAGAACGCGTGAAGAAGATCATCGCTGAAAAACAAGTCAAGGGAGAAGATGGCATTGTGGAGCATGAGGCCACCTTAAAAATCGACGAGGGGGACAAAGAAAATCGAGAGTTAGGTTCTGTATCGGTTACGGCTGGTAGAAAGAGGAAACAGAGATGGGACGTAACATCTGAGTCTCCCGCTGCAACAGAAACTACTGAAGCTGCTGACGCCAAGCCCAAGCGCTCAAGATGGGACCAGACACCTGCCCCTGCCGCCCCTACAGAAGCCCCCAAACGAAGGTCGAGGTGGGATCAAGCTCCGTCTCTTACAGCAGCTACGCCCATCGGCCATCAAGGTCTCTCGACACCCATGCACCCTTCACAGGCACCCGTTCCAATGGCACCTGTAACCTTTGGCTCCGATATAACTGGTCGAAATGCACCCCTATCGGACGAGGAACTAGATATGATGCTTCCCTCCGAGGGATATAAGATTCTCGAACCACCTCCTGGATATGCTCCGCTTCGAACTCCTGCCCGCAAGATGATGGCCACTCCAGCGCCTGTTGCTAGCGCAAGCGGGATCGGTGGTTTCATGATGCAAGAACCAGAAAACGCTCGCCTTATGAGCAAGCAATTACCCACCGATATCCCTGGAGTGGGCGACTTGCAGTTTTTCAAGGCTGAGGATATGCAATACTTCGGAAAACTTGTTGACGGAGCTGACGAGAATTCAATGTCCGTCGAGGAGCTCAAAGAGAGGAAGATTATGAGGCTATTGCTAAAAGTCAAAAATGGTACTCCGCCAATGCGGAAAACCGCTTTGCGTCAGCTTACAGATAACGCACGACAGTTTGGGGCAGGTCCTCTTTTCAACCAGATTCTGCCACTGCTGATGGAGAAAACACTGGAGGATCAGGAACGGCATTTGCTTGTCAAAGTCATTGATCGTGTGTTGTACAAGCTTGATGATCTTGTGCGACCGTATGTCCACAAAATCCTTGTCGTCATCGAACCGCTCCTTATCGACCAGGACTATTACGCCCGTGTCGAAGGTAGAGAAATTATCTCAAATCTCAGTAAAGCGGCAGGCCTTGCTCACATGATTAGTACCATGCGCCCCGATATCGACCACGTTGATGAGTATGTACGGAACACCACTGCACGAGCTTTCGCCGTGGTCGCATCCGCCCTCGGTATTCCAGCCTTACTTCCATTCCTAAGGGCCGTTTGTCGGAGTAAGAAATCGTGGCAAGCTAGGCACACTGGTGTCAAAATTGTACAGCAGATTCCCATTCTTATGGGCTGTGCTGTGTTGCCTCATTTGCAGGGCTTAGTAGACTGTATTGGGCCGAATCTCAGTGATGAACAGGCCAAGGTGCGGACGGTGACCAGTTTGGCAATTGCTGCACTTGCAGAAGCTGCCAATCCTTATGGTATTGAGAGTTTCCAGGACATTCTTGGGCCACTATGGATGGGTGCGCGTAAACAACGCGGCAAGGGCCTTGCCGGTTTCCTCAAGGCCGTTGGCTACATCATTCCTCTTATGGATGAAGAGGGTGCGAATTACTTTACTAGCCAGATCATGGAAATTATCCTTCGCGAGTTCTCTTCTCCAGATGAAGAGATGAAGAAGGTCGTTTTGAAAGTCGTATCTCAATGCGCCGGTACAGACGGTGTTACAGCAGCATATCTGAAAGAGCACGTACTCCAGGACTTCTTCAAATGCTTCTGGGTCAGACGTATGGCTCTTGACAGAAGGAATTTTCGCCAAGTTGTGGAAACCACTGTTGATCTTGGCCAGAAAGTGGGCGTCAGCGAGATTTTAGAAAAGATCGTCAACAACCTCAAGGACGAGAGCGAAGCATATCGAAAAATGACAATCGAAACGATTGAGAAGCTCATAGCTTCACTCGGAGCTGCAGATATCGGTGAACGATTAGAGGAAAGGCTGATCGACGGTGTCCTTTTCGCATTTCAAGAACAAAGTGTTGAAGATATTGTGATCTTGAATGGATTTGGAACCGTTGTAAATGCCCTTGGAACTCGCTGCAAACCTTACCTTCCTCAAATTGTTAGCACTATTCTATGGCGACTGAACAACAAGTCCGCAACTGTGCGACAGCAGGCAGCAGACCTTATCTCTCGCATCGCGATGGTCATGAAGCAATGCGGAGAGGATGCTTTGATGGGCAAACTTGGTACTTTCCTCTACGAATATCTTGGTGAAGAATATCCTGAGGTGCTTGGTTCCATCCTTGGCGCATTGCGTTCTATTGTCACTGTTGTTGGCATCAACCAGATGCAGCCTCCGATTCGAGACCTTCTGCCACGCCTTACACCTATCTTGCGAAATCGGCATGAAAAGGTTCAAGAAAACACAATTGATCTTGTTGGTCGTATTGCTGATAGAGGCCCCGAATCAGTCAACGCCCGTGAATGGATGCGTATTTGCTTCGAACTGCTTGATATGCTTAAAGCCCACAAGAAAGGCATTCGCCGGGCCGCCAACAACACATTTGGTTTTATTGCAAAAGCAATCGGGCCACAAGACGTTTTGGCTACGTTGCTCAACAACCTGCGGGTCCAAGAACGTCAGTCGCGCGTCTGCACAGCCGTTGCTATTGGTATAGTTGCCGAAACTTGCGCACCTTTTACAGTCTTGCCCGCTCTTATGAACGAGTATCGAGTGCCTGAACTGAATGTGCAAAATGGTGTGCTTAAAGCCATGTCATTCCTCTTCGAGTATATCGGCGAGATGGCGAAAGATTACGTCTACGCCGTCACACCGCTTCTTGAAGATGCTCTCATCGATCGTGACCAGGTTCATCGACAAACAGCAGCCAGTGTTGTTAAGCATATCGCACTTGGGGTCGTGGGCTTAGGGTGCGAAGACGCAATGGTTCATCTCCTCAACCTTCTCTATCCCAACCTTTTCGAGACCAGTCCGCACGTCATCGATCGTATCATCGAGGCTATTGAAGCAATTCGTATGGCGGTCGGTACGGGTATTGTGATGAACTATGTCTGGGCTGGACTATTCCACCCTGCACGTAAAGTGCGAACTCCATACTGGAGGCTGTACAATGATGCCTACGTTCAGGGCGCGGATTCTATGATTCCATATTATCCGCACCTACCAGATGAAGGCGTGCCGAGAGATGAATTAGCGATTGTACTTTGATTTTCTACCGAGGAGGTT